CTTACGGGAGTACGCGGACGTGCTTCCGGGAGAGATCCCTGCGGAGCTTCCGCAGGACAAGGGCGTCCAGCACGAGATTGATCTCGTGCCGGGGACGAAGTACTGTGTCACGCGGCAGTGGCCACTGCCGCGAGAGCAGGTCAAGGCGATCGACGACTTCTTGTCGTCGCAAAGCTGGGCAAGTGCGGGAATCGAAGTCCCTGCACAGTGCTCCGACCTTCTGCGTCAAGAAGCCACAGGGCAGCTGGCGCATCGTTCATGCGTACAACAAGTTGAACGATGCGACGATACCGGCGCAGACACCAATACCGCGAAAATATGTCATCATCGATTCGATGGCCAGGAGCACTATCTACAGTGCTCTTGATCTGCGCGATGGGTTCTATCAGATCCTCATGCGTGAGAGCGACATCCCTCCCACGGTTGTGAGCACGCCGATCGGCATGCTCTTGGAGTGGCTAGTGATGCCGCAGGGTCTGAAGAACGCCTCTGCGACCTTCAACAGGTGCATGACGCACTTGTTGAGCTCGGTGCGCGACTTCGCACCGAGCTACTTCGATGATGTGTTTGTCCACAGCCGGGCTGCGGACGGGATGAGCGATGTTGAGATGCACAAGGTGCATCTCCGGAAGCTGCTTGCGCTCATGCGCAAGTACAAGCTCTATGCGAACCTGAAGAAGTGCATCTTCGGGGCGAGCGAGATACACGTGCTCGCGTGTCTCGTTGGGAAGAACGGTGTCCGCCCTGACACTGAGAAGGTCAGAGTGATCAATGAGTGGCTGACGCCGTCGAACGTCAAGGAACTGCGGCAGTTCCTTGGCTTGACCACGTACTTGTGCAAGTATGTGAAGGACTATGCGGGCACGATTTGCCCGCTGTCACAGCTCCTGAAGAAGGAAGCCGAGTGGCATTGGGCTGCTGAGGGTCAGCAGGCCTTCGATGCAGTCAAGTAGGGCTTGACTGAGGCGCTGATCTTGGCGGTGGCCGACCAAGATCGCCCGTTCCACGTTGTGTGCGACGCATCCGACTTCGCAATCGGATGTGCGTTGATGCAGCACGATCACGACCCTCGTGATCGTGTCGGCTACTACCAATCGCGTCAGCTGAATCCAGCTGAGCGCAACTACCCGGTGTATGACAAGGAACTCCTTGCCATGAAGTACGCACTCGCGAAGTTCCGAGTGTATCTACTCGGAAAGAAACCGTTCGTAGTCTATACGGACCACGCGTCACTGCGAACGGCTGTGAAGTCACCGCACATCTCGCAACGGATGGTCAGATGGCTCTCATTCTTCGCAGAGTATAACTTCCGGGGTTGAGTACCAACCCGGAAGACTCAATGGGGTGGCCGACGCGCTATCGCGTCGACCTGACTACGCCACGACTGATGCCGACGTCAATGCCATTGACGCCATGCGATCGAGCACCCCAACGTCGTCACTGTTGGACGACGTGAAGGTCGCGTCCGCGCACGACGCGGACGCGAAGTTCTTGCTGGCCCGTCAGAAGCTGCCGAAGCATCTTCGTGCTCGTGCATACCGATATCGGGTGTACGACGGGTTATTACTCTACAGTGCAGACGACGACAGCGCGGACTTCGTTGTCGTGACCAATGACCATAACCTGCGACTCAGGCTCATGTATGAGTATCACGATACCGAGTGCGGGGCATCCGGGCCGTGAGAAGACATATCTTCTTCTCACGCGGGACTTCTACTGGGCCCACCAGTATAAATGGGTGCGCAAGTACGTCCGTGCTTGCGAGGTTTGTCAACATGTGAAGCCTGTGCCTTTCGCGCAGGCTCCCTTGCAGACACTGCCGACTCCGTCGGAGTGTTGGTAGTCCATATCTTTGGACTTCGTGTTCGGTCTTCCCCCGGGCAGCCAGGGGAACACGGGCGTTGTGGTCTTTGTTGACCGCTTCAGCAAGATGGTACATCTTGCTGCAGTACCTGCTGAAGTGACTGCGAAGCAGACGGCGCGTCTGTTCGTTGACATGGTGTTCAAACACCATGGTATGCTGATCGACATTGTGTCGGATCGAGACCCGCGCTTCACTGCACACCTTTGGCAAGGAGTGTTCACACTTCTTGGGAGTCAACTTTCGATGTCGGCTGCGGACCATCCGCAGACGGACGGGCAGACCGAGCGCGGGAACCGCGTACTCGTAGACGCGCTAAAGAGCTACGCTCACTCGTTCCACCACTGGAGCGAGTGCCTGCTGATGGCGGAGTTCGGCATCAACAACTCGGTGCATGCCTTGACCGGGCATACGCCGTTCTACGTGAATGCAATAAGGTACCCACGCCTCCCGAGTCTACTCGGGATGGTGGCTCCTTCCTTAAGTGGGGGAGGATCTTCGACTGCAACGCAGCAGCCGTAGAATGCCGCTGACACTTGCACAGTGTCAGCCGCGACTACGCGCAAGAAGAACAAAAAGCACGCGTCTATGTAGGGCACAGACGCCGACAAGAGCAAGAAGAAGAAGAAGAACGGATCTGTGCAGGGCACAAACACCGCGAAGACAAACGCAGAGGCCGGGCCTACTGCTGGAAACGAGCTGAACGAGTTCAGCTCGGGCGCAATCAACTTCGTGCAGTGCAGACAAGCCGTCATTCGGTTTGTCCAAGACGCTATTGCAGCTTCTGTTGATCGACAGAAGCTGAACGCGGACAACGTTGGCAGGGGCAACACAAATGAATTCAAGAAGGGTTCATAGGTTTTGTTAGCTACTAAAAACGTGCCTAAACATGCAGTTTCCGACTTGGGGGCGAGCAAGCTCGCTCCGTGCTTCATCGGGCCATTCACGGTGTTGGTACGGCATGGCAACGCCTACACGCTAGATATTCCATCTAGCGTGCGCCTCCATCCGACCTTTTACGTCGGGCGGCTGAAGCCATGCCGGCAGCACGAGCCACCTAGCTCGGCTGGCCCGAAGCGGAAGCCCCATCGGGAGCGAACCTCTGCTCCAGCGCGTTCACCCGCTGGTCCAAGCGTGCGACGCGACCTCCCACGTCAACAGAGATGTCCGACCGGGTCTGCGAGGCCTGAGCGACTTGAGCCCTCAGAATCGCCACCTCCTGCTTCAGAGCGGCGAACTCCCGGCTCTGATGCTGTTCCACAGCAGCAACCCGCTCCTCGAGCGTCAGGCCAAGGTCAACCCCAGGTTGACCATACCCGGGGCGTATTCCCACCACCGCCGCCTCCGATCCGCAACGCCCGCGGCTCAACACGCTGGATAGTTGAGCGTATTGTGAACCATAGTACCCCGAAAACAAACCGGCAGCCGGTTCGTTATCGTATTCGTTGGAGAGGGTTTCCGCCCCACCAAGATATATGGGAGCCGCGGGATGTCCTGCTGCAGGACGTTCCGGAAAAGGTGAGGGCGTACGAAGCTCATCACGCACTGCCGGTGCGAAGGTAGTGTGAGCGCTGTAGTTACCTGCAGCGCCCGAAGTCCCACGATCGTTGCGTTCCTCACGTGCCAGAAACTTGGCACGGAGATCCTTGAGACTCGCAGGTACACGAATCGTCGTGTACCCAGCTAGGTCGCGGTCGCTCAAGCGCGCCGCACCCGGAAGACACAACGTGCACTGTTGGCCTTCGGGCACAGCGCATGGAATGCCAGCGTCCACAGAGGATCTGTGGAGCTGCTCTAGCCGCCCGCGCGTCAAGAATGTCTTGAAGCTTTCACGGGCATGCATAACCCACTCGCGATAAGCAACCGGTTTCTTGTTGAAGTTCTCAACAAAAGCATTCCAACTTTGACAAGGTGCCTGCCACTCAGGCACTTTGCTGCGAGAAGAGGTCTTCTTGCTGGAGAAGTACAGGAGCTCGTGGAAGTGCCCGATGTAGTAATCGCTCCTTTGATTCGTTAACGGATCAAAGTGCTGCTCCTCCGCCACAGCATCGTCGTGGATGCCGCTGCATACGTACAGCGGGATTTCATTTGGAGGCACGGTGTTGCCCATACGGTCTGCGATCTCTGACGCAGACGGCATCAACGGATCGCGCGCTGCCTGAGAAGCGCGCGGATAGCTTGAAGACGCCACATCACGCGGGGAGCTTAAAGCCCCAGCAGCAGAGAGCGGAGTGTCGCTCTCGCCGCGCGAACGCTTCGAGCTCGAAGCGTTGGGGTCGTCTCCTTCACGAGGGCGTCTCAACCCGGCATGCGGGTCGAGACAATCGCTGTCGATAGACTCCTTGCGCTTGATTGAAGAGGCCTTGCCCTCTTCCATCTCCACGTCGCCGTCCCCGTAGTCAACGGCGTCGCTGACTACAGAGGAACCTTCGAGGACAATCTCCGGCTGGGTTGTCCCCGCCGCAGCTTTGGCAGCGAGAGCGTCACGCTTTGCTTCATGACGCTCGAAGTACTCGGAGACAGAGAGAGTCTCTGTCCCGGCGGAGGTCTTCCCCTCTGCTGCAGCGGCGGTCTTCTTCGGCGAGCTCATTGCCGAATGAGCTCGAGTTTTCTTTCTCCCAACATGAAGAATTGACGAGTGGTCAATTTCCTGGTTGACGTGCCGTGACTTGGCGCGTCTAACCTTGAGGGGGGATGGTGTAACAGGGTTACACGCACAAGTGGCTACAGTCACTTGTAACTCTAACAGACACGACGTCTGTTAGAGGTTCGAAAGCCTTTCTCGACCTTGGTGTAGACACAGCAAAGGCTACATACATTTACGACCACCACGACGGGTGGTCCATATAGAGACTTAGGATTCCTATTGGCTGAGAGCAGCATCTCTTAGCCAATGAGCGACATGTATAGCATTGGAATTCTGCCAACCAGCCGTTGGCAGATTCCTAACTTAGAATATTACATTTAGAGGAAGTCAGCATAAAACAAAAATAGCAGTTCTCATTTTAACCCAAAAACATTATTTGGATCGTTTATTTAGATTAATCTATACTCGGAGGTCCGAGTATAATTAACTCTAGTTTAAACTAAGCTACGCTTCCTCACACACATGCGCACACGTGTAAGCTAAAGTAGTGAGTCAATGTAGGCCCATTACACCTCCAATAGGCGCGCGCACACCATGTGCATGCTCGAGTCCAAACTTCACCAGCATCTCCGAAATATTAGCCTCTTGATCGAACATGTAGTCACTGCTAGCATCGTACTCCACACATATCCCGAGAACCTTACTGACCGGCCCCAGGTCTTTTAACGCCAGATCCCACATCGCACGAAAGAACGCATACACCCTGCCGGCATCTGTGCCTGTAACGAGAAAGTCGTCGACGTAGGTGCCGATGATGGTTATCCCGTCTTCGTCAGCGAGATAGTAAGGCAGGAGTCCGTGACGCACTGTTAAAAGCCGAGCACAAGCAACTTGTGGTGCACGTGATTGTGCCAGAGTCTTCCTGCCTGCTTCAGGCCGTACAAGCTGCGCTCGAGCTGCAGCGCCACGTCCTTCGCTCTCGTAGCTACAAGCTCCCGCAATTGCACGTCCGTCACCACGAGACCGTCTGGCACGAACCGCAAGATCACTATCCCATCTTCCGTAGCAGCTTTCACGTAGGCGATCAGCACATCACCGTGCCGAGCCGGACCCCCCCCCCCCCCCTACATGTGCGAGCACGAAAATGATCTTGACACTTGACATGCCGATCACAGCGGCAAACACAAGGAAGAAGTAGACGCCCAAAATCTGCTCGTTGCCGCATGCGACTAGTCGAGCCTTGTATCGCTTGATCGCCCCAGCTCCCGTTCGTTTCTTTTTGGTAGACCCACTTGGTGTGGAGGCGTGGCGCCGTGGGCTAGCATTTCACCAGTATCCATGTGTTATTGGCTTGTAGAGCGGCGAGTACCTCCTGCTCGGCGGCTGCTCACAACGCGCTCTCGGGGCATTTCCTCGCTTTTTGATAGCTCTTTGGCTCGGGGTCTGTTGTGTGCAATTTTGACTCCTCCAGCGGAACATCATCTGCCACCGCACTTGCCAGTGCGAGCTCGTCCCTTCCGGGCCGTGGAGCACCGAGATCAACGTCGCCGTCAGCTTTGGCCTGTCGTCGCGACTTGCGTCGTAGTCGTCGGGACCGGCGACGCTGCAGCGGCTCCGTCGATGCTTCCGCACTACCCGCTGAATCGCATCCACTCTCAGTGCTCGTGGCAGCATGCGCGGGTCTGTCGTCATGGTCTGTAAGTTTCGAATGTGCTCTGTCATGATCACCTCGCGCTCCGAGGGCAAGTAGGCTTTGTATTATTTAGTAGCCTCGTCGTTCCCCACAATGACCTCCTCGCACGCTGTCTTCTTCATCGCGCGCTTGCCTGGATCGCGGAAGACTGTGCACTTCGTGCCAAACACTACGATGTCGTCCAAGCCGGGGACGTTGCCGGTTAACACCTCGATTGGCGACTTGCGTCCTTCGTTGGTTCGGGTCGGGCTGCGATTGAGGATGTACACAGCGTAGCCAGCGGTGTCACCCCCAAAACTTAGTGGTAGACCAGCTCCAAAGACCATACATCGCACCATGTTGAGGATCGTGCGATGCATACGATCCGCTTTCGCGTTCGCGGCTTGGTTCCCCGCCTCTACGATCTGCCTCGCAACTCCGTTCTCTTTGCAAAAGAGGTCAACGCTGCGATATTCGCCTCCGCCGTCAGTGCGTAAGACGTGGATTCGACAACTCCGTAAGGAAGGCATGGAATTTCCTGGCCACTTCATTCTTCATAATCGCCAAGAATACTTTGCACTAGTTGGAGTGGAAGTTCTGGTTGCCCAGGCGATCGAGAGGTCTCATTGGACCCTTCAGGTCGCTACAAATAACACCACCGACCTTTTCAATTGGCGCATGAGCTCCGGTGTCTTTGGTCGGCTGTCGCTCTTGAGTCTGCTTGCCTTGAGCACACACCAGGCACGGCGTTCGCGTTCGGTCCGTGACCTTGATGGCCGATTTGGGGTCTTTGGCCATGTGCTCGATCGTGTCTAGGGCCAAGTTCCCAAACCGAGCATTTAAGCCCATAAGCGAATCGGTTTGACAATACCATTCGAGCGCTAGCACCATACACCGCCTACCTATAGTCGTGAATAACATGAGACTGTGGTTAGTGTAGTTTGGACCCAAAATTTCACCAAGAAGTACAGAGAGTAGCGGCAATAAGAAAGGGTTCAACGATTAAAGTACTGAAGGTATATACAATAATCAAGTCAAATCAAATCTTACGGAGCTTTAAACGTATTGACTTAACGAAATAAATGAAACACATTAGGTACGTTATTACTTGTATGCCACATCACTTTGACAAACTCAGTACCTAAATAGAGGCTCTTTATAATTCAATATTAATGTGTTGTCGGAATTATAAGCTGTTGACCCTTTCTTATTGCCGCTACTCTCTGTATAGTGTTGGCAGGTCCTGTCGTAATGCGTAATCATATATATATATATATATTTCTGGCGCCCTTAGCGCCTAAGTACGATCCCTTAACTATGAAGCACCGCACCCACTTTTTTAGAGCGTTGGCTGCATAATGTCACGTTTCACTTACGATTTGTATTGGTCAAGTCACGTGGGCTGCGCGAACCGTCCATATTACAAGACTGTATGTGGACCACACGCCGCCGAGCAAGCGGCCCCTGTAGGCTTGGCTTCAACTTTTGTCAAGAGCCGCGCTCGCGGGGCTCCGCTTGGCTTGTGCTAAATAAATCTGCGATGGGGTCAGTAAAACTGACTTAGTGTAGCTTTAGGTTTTATTGTGCATTGCAGACTTTTTGGCACTTTGGACTGTATCGAGCACGACTTATCTATAAGTTGTACTCGAGTACGAATTGCTGTAAGTCGTGGATGGTCCATCGGCACTAAGTAGAGCACATACACCATATCCTGCATGATTTAGCAGATCTAGTACGGATTAGCATCCTTTTGGCACTTTTAGAAATTGTCATTCTCCAGATTTTGCAGGACATCGATCTGGCTCACGAGCATAAGCGCAGGACGGAATGTCCTGTATTTTCCAAATCGAAACATCCCGGCGTCAAATCCTACCCAAAATCTAGTATTATTGGCACAAGCTTGGCAAAGTCAATCTTTTGTGCTTTTGCAGGACAACATGTCCTGCAAGATTTGCTGCATTGCGGATGCCGCACCCGCAATGCAGCAAACTTCCGAGCTAATGCGCCAAGCAGAATTATAACACACACGTGGTGTCCGTTAGCGTAGCGTGCCCACCAGGAAGATACAGTATTCATGGCTCGCTCTGTAGACCAAGGAGCATTTTAGTCGTACCAGTTAAAGAAATCTAAGCTCAGCCATACATTTCATACATTCTCAACACTTTTTTTTTAACTAAGTCAGCAGTAACGCCGAGTCGAACCAGTACGTATATGAACGCTGAAAGATGAACGAACAATAGCTCTCCATTACCCAGTGCTAATCGCAACATTTAATTGCGGGGGCACATGCTGTGTCGACGCTTGCCATGGCAGTTGTATGTGTAGTGTCCCTGGATAGCGAAGAGCAAATGCAGCACCTTCCCTTAGGGTCTGACCCGCTGAAGCCGCCCACGTTTGAGCCTCCGCCGAACACCCATACCAGAGCTGCCGTATCAGCTAGTTGTCGTGATCGTGATCGTCCTCAACGAAGTCGCCCACGACGCTACCGTAGCGAGCCCTCAGTCTTGATGGTTGCTGGTCTGCGCGCGTCATCTCCTGCCCGTCGAGATCCAGGCCAGCATGCCACCCGAGACCGAATCACCTGTACTCGAAGCCCTCGGCCACTTTGTTTCCTGATACGAGTAGAACAGAGTCATCAGCGTGGGTGGTGAGCATAGAATTAGACTTTTGTTAAGCGCCATATCGCTGACGATGTCCTTGTCGAAGAAGAGCTGGCCGTATTAGCGTGCTTCTAATGGAACCTGCAGCGGATCCGAGCACCTTGTGCCTACGAAGGATAAAATGAACACTGAATTGATGGAGCGTTAGCTGCTCACTGCCTGAGCTCCTACCAACACTCACGGGTTCCTACCCGTTCCCATACAGCGACCTGCGTTTCTCTGCTTCTCAGCTTTCGTCTCAACTGCCATGACCAGGTCTCAGATATGCATTCCAACACGCCCTCCTCGAAGAGCACTCTTCGCCTATTGCACGCTTCCAACACCGGCCAGCAACAGCAACGCCTTGAGTCTCTTCTTGTCAAGAGGCTTAGTGAACGTGTCGGCAGGGTTCTGCTCGCCCTTCACCTTGTGCAGCTCAATAGCTCCTTTCTGCATTTGCTCCCGTACATAGTGCCAACGTAGCTCAATGTGCCGCGTGCGGCGGCTGTAGGTCGGGCTTGTAGTCATCACGTGAGCTGCTTGGTTGTCCACTCCAATCCGTAGCCGGATAGTGTGATGAGGCAGGATCTCCTGCAAGATATTACTCTCTGCAACCGCCTCCATACTTGCTTCACAAGCCGCTACATACTCGGCCTCTGCCGTGGACAAGGCATAGATCCATTGTCTTCGTGACATCCACGCAATGGCACCACCAGCTAGGGTAAACACAAACCCCGTAGTGCTCTTGCGTTGCTCAGGATCATTTGCCCAATCACTATCTCAATATCCTTCCAGCACCACTTCACTCGAAACTATCTGCCCTCTAGAGTAGGTGATCCCATAGTTGCGCGTGCCAGCTAGATATCTCAGCACCCGCTTCAAAGTGCCCACATGCTTTGTGGTCGGCTTTGCAACAAAGCGACTCAGCTGTCCTACCGCAAAAGCCAAATCCGGTATCGTACTGGTGGCCAAGTACATGAGCATCCCGACTGCCTCACGGTAAGGGAAGCTTGTATCCGCCACCACTTCATCACTGCTCGGCGCCAGACGCACATTCACTTCCATGGGATTCCCAACAGCGTGGGCCTCACTGTAGCCAAACTTATTCAAAATCTCATTTGCGTACTTCTCCTGTCGAATCGCAATCCGCTCCGTGGTCTGCTCGACCTCAACGCCCAAGTACTGCGCCAGCTGCCCTTGCTCCTTGATCCCATACGCTTCGTTCAGTTCCTTGAACAAGCGCTCCTTGTACGGCTCGTCGTTTGTCGCTACGAGAATATCGTCGACGTAGACTAGCACGTACGCCATCATCTCACCCTCGAAACGATAGTACATACACGGCTCCGTCAGAGATCGCAGGTACCCGTGATCCAGAAACCACTGGTTCAGTTCCGTATTCCACTCGTGACCTGACTGCCGCAGTCCATACAATGCTTTCAGTACCACGTACACATGCCCATTCACTTTGCAGGGATAGCAATCGATCGATCGTAGGTACTGCCGAATACTCAGACGAGCATTCAAGTATGCGGTGTTTATATCTCCACCAAACACACTCAGTCCCAGCGCCGCTGCTATCGCCAGCAGCAGTCGGAACGACGACATCCTAGCAACGGGGGCGAACGTCTCACGAAAGTCAATCCCGGGTCGCTGGTAATTGCCCAGTGCAACAATGCGAGCCTTGAAGCGGATCACATATCCTTGGTGGTCCGTCTTCAAGTCATACACCCACATCGTATTCACCAGCAGTGCATCCTCAGGCATCTCTTCGCCAGGAATCTCCATGATAACACCTTTGGCTTTCAGCGCTGCAATCTCCTCCATTTCGCCCATCAGAAAGAACTCTCGCCACTTAGAACGCATCATCTCAGGTGGTTCCGAGGAATCTTCACATTACTTGCTCTTATGGGTCGTCCATTCTTGTCCAGAGTACGCGAGGTATTGAGCGCAGCGTTCATCACATAGTCCTTCAAGTAGCTGGGACGGCGACGCTCGTCGTACTCGCGAAGACCGGTGCGTGTCTTCTTCACATCTGTCTTTGCTGCATCTCCCTCGACGCGCACCTCTTCCGACGGAGTTTCGTCACGATGCGACCGCTTCCCGATATTCATCGGCAGTGGGAACATCACACTAGCGTCAATAATCTCGCCAGCCGCTGCATGACCACTCGAATGCACCCTCTTGACCGATTCGGTCTCACCGAAGTCCTCTTGCAGTGACTGAGTGCGCGACAGGTTTGCATCTCCCTCGTGCTCGTCCGGAGCCAAGACACTTGCCACAGTAACATCATCACCATTGAGAATTTCATCAGCTTCCTCTTCCTCAGCATCACTATGCACTCCTCCTACCAGCGATTACCCACACGTTCCGGTTACCGACACGGCGTCGTCACCCCCAGCAGCACCGTCGTCTTCTTCAGCAGCGTCCTCACCGCTGTCAGTGACTTTCTCATCATCGTTCGCAGGAGTCGCAAGCGTACGAATTCCACACTTGCCTCCATCGAGGCGCTTGCCAGTGCCGCCAGTCTCGTCGGTACCACCACTGTTGTCCTGCTGCTCTTCATTCACTGACTCTTCATCAACAACAGCTTGGCTTTCATCTCCCGCCTCGAGAATAACATTCTCGTCAACGGCGTCCTCAAAAGTAGACTGCATTTTACCGCTTTGCTCTAGTCCCGACACTACTGTACTCGCCCGTGTAGCCATGTTCGTATTTGAAGCCTGATCGGCATCACCAATATCACTTCCGTCGGTGTCGCTGGCGTCGGTCACCGTGCGTCTGACGAAGTGCAGCGACTCCAAGTCCTCGTCATCCACGTCCACTTCGTAGCGATCACGGTACATGACGTCCTCAGCCACTCTCAGATCAGGAACGAACTTAGCAGTGTGCTCGTCAGGAAAATAGACCTTACATCCGATCACGTCTTCTGCATACCCGCGCACAAAGCCAATTCTAGCGTTATTGTGGTGCTTCTTCCGCTGAGGAGACACCGGCACGTGTACATAAGCCAGTGTACCAAACTTCCGGATATGGTGCACGTCCGGCTGAATCCCAAACATCATCTCGTAAGGAACACCGCCTGTGCCCTTATTGTACACACGATTCTTCACGTACACCGCGTTTCGCAGTGCTTCCGGCCATAGGCTCCGGGGGAAGCCTGCTTGCGCCATCGTCGCCTTCGCCATGCCCTCCAGCGACTGATGAGTCCGCTCGCACAAGTTGAGTTGTGAGGATTTAGGGCCGACTTTCACATGTTCAATCCCTTGCGAATCGTACCAGGTTGTCATTTCATCGTTGAAAAACTCCCCGCCCTTATCCGTCAGCACTTGCTGCACTTTGTACAACGCACCCCTGACATTACGACCCGCCTGCCGCTCGGCCCAGAGAACATACTCCTGCATGAGTCTGTTGATCACAGGACTTTGCTTGTCACTAAGCAGGTGTACCGTGACGAAGCGAGAGTATCCGTCCATAATGATCAGCACGGCCTGATACCGTGTACCGCAGTCTTTACTGGGGATTAGGAGGTCAGCGTACACAACCTGGTTCGGCTCCTTGGTTGTCCGATCCAAATTCTTCCTGTACGTCTTCCTCTTCTGTTTGCCCAGATGACATGCATCGCATGTGTCCTCTTTCCGCTGAGTCAGCAGCATCCCACGCACTAGACCTTTGTCCACCATGGTCTTCAAATATTGTGGACAAGTGTGGCACAGACGCTCGTGCCAAAGTGCCAGTGAGCCGACTCCCTCTGCAGCAGTGTAGTTGCACAGAGCACGATCCTGAGGGGTGAATTGCTCTCGCTCACCAGGGCCAATCACCTGGAACCCCCAAGTAGATTCCTGCGGAGTAGCGACAGCCACTGCTCTCCCCTCTCTTAAGACGACGAAGCTTCGAGTTGCAATGTCATGGTCAAACTCAAATCCTTGAGCGTACGCTAGTCCCGGTGAAAACAGTCCATACTCAGCTCCAGGGATGAAAAACACATCGTCCAGAAACATTACAACTTGTTCACTACCGACTTCTGTGGCCAATGCCACCGTTCCTACGCCCGCAATGCGTGAAGCAATAGTTGGAGTCACTCCACGGACAGTCCGTATGCCCGCCGTGTCAGCCGTGAACGACACAAAGTCCGAGCGATTCCCCGTCACATGTGAGTTTGACGCAGTGTCGAAGAACCACCACCCACTGCCGTAGTCCGCAGCACCTTGATCACTGTCCTCCAGTAGTACCTCAGTACCTTCTGCACCGTGATCACTAAGTAGTTCCTGGTTCTACGTGCTCGTCATGTGCATTTCGTAGCTCCTCGTGCATCTCTGGCTGCTCCTCCGCCACTAACCCCGTCACAACACCAGGATCCGCATCATCCTGCGTCGGACTCGATGAAACACCACTCTCCTGGTGCAGGGTACAATTTCCCCGCGGTTTTCGCTTCTGCTCAAAGTCATCAGCACCGCTTTGCTTCTTTGTCCTCTCCGGGCAATTTGCCTTGAGATGTTTATCACTCCCGCAGACATAACACAGCCGCGTCTTCTTTGACCCACTAGTCCTGCTCTGCTCACCTCCTTTGCCACTTCCATCTCGTTGCCCACCATGGCCCCCTTGCTTCTCACTACGCTTGCCTCTGAACTCTTTCTGTCGAGCGGCCGCAGCAAGAATCAATTCTCGAACCCGCTTCGGTGTGTACACGCTCGGGTCCGCGCCGTAGTAAATGGAAGACTTCAACCGCTCAAACTCAATCTGGTCCGGCAAACTCTCAAGCAGCATATCCACCATTCTATTATGGGCAATAACATGCTGCAAGTCCGCCAACTCGGTCTTGAGGTTGAACATCCTGCAAAGATGGAGGTTCGTGTCTCCTCCAGGCGTCAGCTTCATGCTCCACATCTCGTTCTCCACGCGACGAATCGTGTAGGTCTTGATGGCTTCATTCTGCTTGCCCTCGTACAGGATGCAGAGCTCCGCCCACATCTCCGATCCGGTCTCCTTGTCGCGTATCTGCTGAAGAACGTCCGGCGGCACGGACGTACCCACCATGCGCATGATCTTGAGCTGCGCTGCGTCGAAAGCCTCCAGCCTCTCCGCACTCGCAGTCGCGAGTATCGCCCTGGTCAGGTCTCCGACCGCGATCTCCTTGAGCTTGTTCTCCTTGAACACGTTCATCATGGCCCACTTGTACGTCTGCCAATCCTTGCCGCTCCAGTTCTTCGGCACCCCTTCGTTATGCTCACGACTGCGAGTGCGGAGAGGCTGGAGGCTTTCGACGCAGCGCAGCTCAAGATCATGCGCATGGCGGGTACGTCCGTGCCGCCGGACGTTCTTCAGCAGATACGCGACAAGGAGACCGGATCGGAGATGTGGGCGGAGCTCTGCAACCTGTACGAGGGCAAGCAGAATGAAGCCATCAAGGCCTACACGATTCGTCGCGTAATCTAAGCTCAGCCATACATTTCATACATTCTCAACACTTTTTTTTTTAACTAAGTCAGCAGTAACGCCGAGTCGAACCAGTACGTATATGAACGCTGAAAGATGAACGAACAATAGCTCTCCATTACCCAGTGCTAATCGCAACATTTAATTGCGGGGGCACATGCTGTGTCGACGCTTGCCATGGCAGTTGTATGTGTAGTGTCCCTGGATAGCGAAGAGCAAATGCAGCACCTTCCCTTAGGGTCTGACCCGCTGAAGCCGCCCACGTTTGAGCCTCCGCCGAACACCCATACCAGAGCTGCCGTATCAGCTAGTTGTCGTGATCGTGATCGTCCTCAACGAAGTCGCCCACGACGCTACCGTAGCGAGCCCTCAGTCTTGATGGTTGCTGGTCTGCGCGCGTCATCTCCTGCCCGTCGAGATCCAGGCCAGCATGCCACCCGAGACCGAATCACCTGTACTCGAAGCCCTCGGCCACTTTGTTTCCTGATACGAGTAGAACGGAGTCATCGGCGTGGGTGGTGAGCATAGAATTAGACTTTTGTTGAGCGCCATATCGCTGACGATGTCCTTGTCGAAGAAGAGCTGGCCGTATTAGCGTGCTTCAACGCCGACTTGGCAATAAATTACAACCGCCTACGCCGGCCCAGTCTCGGCCAGCTTTTCGTGATGATGAAGAGGTAAAGTTATACTATTGTGCAGGTGGGGCAGCCTATGGCATGTTTGCTGTTGCGGTGAGGCCAAGCACAGGCAAAACTGCGATGCTATGTTAATTTAATTCTGATTGGACAAAATACTACAATTTTGTGTGTCCTGGTAATGTCCTGTAAAATCCGTTTAAGAATCATTTCGGAACCAGATCGGCTTCAAAACAAGACTTGAGCACCTTGTATTCAAAGCCTCTATGATTTACTGCTAAGTAGGAGTGGGGATTTATTGTATTACCTAGGATTAATTCTATTTTCGACAGCTACTTTCAATGCCATCAATGTTTTAAATCGAAATCGTATTCAAATAAATTTTCTTTAAATTGAGATTTACAGAAAATTCATGCATGGCTTTATTGTGCTTTGTATCAGTTTGCCCTCATATTTAGTGCACTAAATAGTGCATGTAATAGAAAGTCAGACTCAGTCCAGAAACTAAACTCTCTAATACAGTTCTTACAGGATTTGCCAATTGCGTGCGCATATTGATTATTCTGGTGCATGTTCCGTTTGACTTATGGAGAGGATAAACTGCCGGTTTGCAGCACTCTGATACGCATTGCGTGGAGTCAATGCAGGAGAGAGTCGTGTCGTCCCCACCGGGATATCTGGGAAATTAGCTGCTCTCTCTCCTCGGGCCGCATTTGCGCTACCATCTCGGCGAGATCGGGGTGAAATCTCGCGGCGTGGCAACGATAAAGTTATCGAGGCTGGGATTAAACCCGGTGGGGTCGGCACAATACCGAACGTGACAGCCAACGCTCGTTTGGCCTGTAGTTTTTCCAGGCGCACGACTTGTGGTGTCATTTTGTCGAAGAGTGCTGGAAATGCTCCTTGGTACTTCAAGAAGAGTTTGTGAGATCGTGAAGTGGTAAAATGAGTCGGTAAAAAGATTTTACGTACTCTATCAGGAAAATACGACCCAGGGCCGCGCTGTGGGGCTTGGTGAGGAGAACCGTTGAACCTCGGTACGCTTGACTTCAGAGCAGGCACAATGTTGCCCTTCCTTTTGAGCTGAGTACCAAGGTCGCTGGACTCTTGGGGGTTGTAGAACCGCTGGACAGTAGCTGTGGGGGTCGGATTTACGTTTCGCTCAGTGCGATAAAGTGACAACGGTTTGTATCTCTGAGCATTGCCAGCGAGCGAGTTCCATTCTTCATGAAAGAGAGACCCGGGACCTCGTGCTGCTGCAAGCTCTAATTACGAGCATTAATCGTGAGTTAATTGACAGAAATGCGAACGAAGAGCTCGTAAAACGTTCCTACCGTCTCCTGGATCAGCGAAGAGCGTGGGGCGGAATGGTGCGTATTGCAGCTGTCCGTCGGGATCGCGATTCGTGCGCAACTCCATCGGCAGCAGCATTTGTAAAGTGCCCCTTGCCGTATTATTTTAGAAAGGTGGCCGGGCCGTCAAGAATAGAGTGCACTCAGGAGTACGCACGAAGCCAAGGCATTAAACTAAAGCAAAAAAAGCTCGCTGCCTATCGGTACTAGGATGCATAAATGCCAATAATGGGGACGCTGGTTTCCATCGTAGTGAGCGTGCTCTGTGTTTCCTTTTTTGGACTCAGCGCTATGTGAATTACCTCGTCGGAGATGACAATCAGAAAACTATCCCAGGGTACGGATGTTGATGCTATGATCTTGGGAGCTGGTACAACGTTCTTAGTACATGTACATACTACGTAGCGCTATGCAAGTGCCGCGGCGTTCTCGACTCATATAATGTTTGTCTGTAAGCGTACTTTGGCTAGATTCTGAAGAGCCCAAAACGCACCTCGCCATATTTGCAGTGATTTTGATCGATGTTGTTCTTGTATTGCAAGCTGAACCCAATAGTTTAGGTTCGAGTGAAACGACAGCGCTGCTCTTTTCGTTTAAGACAACGCCAGGTGACGCGCTTCGTGGCTTTGCTCCACGTGCGACGGAGCCACCTGGCCGGCCACCAACCTTACGCATCAAGCGCGTTGATTGTCTAATCTGTTCACATCCTAGGCCTTTCCTTTTACCGGTACTGTATCCTCGCCCCGAATATTTAGCTCTCCTCCATCGCCGCTTGTGCAGATTCGCTTTTTGTGTGACGATTTGAGGAAACCCCACACGTAAAGCGGGTGTCGCCCATATCTACAGTATCTAACATGCGGACACGGGGCGCGGAACGACAGGCTCCAGCTCATTGAAGCGTTGTGCAGATGGGATCAAGCCTAGATTGGGGACGCGTGCTGTGATAGCCCAGCACTTGTATCCTTTACAGCTCGCCTCTCGAGCCGAGTGTAGCTGCAATTTCTGCATCGGTAACTCGCTAGTGAGTTCTATCCAGTAGTAATTACCAGTAGAGTGAGCTTCTTTTGCAAGTTCTACGTTGTTGACATGCAGCTTGGCCTACATGTATAATGATCGGTCCTATCCTAAAGTGCACACACGTCCTGAACTTCAGGACTTGGGTTTTGATTATGACCGCGCGTGATTGGTCGGCAGATGGGGCCTGCAATTTCCGCCACACACACGAGGGCCGTCACCCGTTGAAAAGGAGGATAACGAAAGCTCGCTTCCGGTGGCGCCTCCATCAGAAATGGAGGAGATCTCGGCGCCCATATGCCTTCCGCCTCCATCTGCCCGCGGTCGTCACCTTGTCGTGCAGGAGCAACAGAGCCCGAGCTAACAGTAAGATCGGCCAAGATCTCGCGGCCGCCCATTCGCGGAAAAACGGCCCAATCCGCGCGCGCCGTCCCTTCAGTTCAAGCGCGCGGCCGCCCAACCGCCGAGCCACGCACTATTGAATCCGCCAAGTGCCACGCAAGCGCCGCCGATCCAAGAGCAAGCCCCAACAGCCCAAGAGCCCCTAGCGACTACAAACACATTAGATCCACCATGTCCGAGTTCAAAATGACCATCTGCTGCATGGGCGCCGGCTACGTGGGCGGCCCCACCATGGCCGTGATCGCTGCCAACTGCCCGGACGTCAAGGTCGTGGTCGTGGACGTGTCCGAGAAGCAGATCGCCAAGTGGAACGCGCCCGACGAGATCCCCATCTACGAGCCGGGCCTCAAGGAGCTCGTGGACGCGCGCCGCAACAAGAACCTCTTCTTCTCCACGGACCTGGACAAGTACATCAACGAGGCCGACATCATCTTCGTGTGCGTCAACACGCCCACCAAGACGAGCGGCATCGGCGCCGGCAGCGCCGCCGACACCAAGAACTGCGAGGCCTGCGCGCGCAGGATCGCGGACGTGGCCACGGAGGGCAAGATCGTCGTCGAGAAGTCTACGGTGCCCGTGCGCACGTCCGAGAGCATCAAGGCCGTGCTGCGCGCCAACTCCAAGGGCCTCAAGTTCGAGGTGCTGTCCAACCCCGAGTTCCTGGCCGAGGGCACGGCCATCGACGACCTGCAGAAGCCCAGCCGCATCCTCATCGGTGGCGCCGAGACGGCCGAGGGCCACGCCGCCGTCGAGAAGCTCGTGAGCGTCTACGCGCACTGGGTGCCGCGCGAGCGCATCATCACGACCAACGTCTGGTCCTCGGAGCTGTCCAAGCTCGTGGCCAACGCCTTCCTGGCGCAGCGCATTTCGAGCATCAACTCGATCTCCGCCGTGTGCGAGGCCACGGGCGCCAACGTGCACGAAGTGGCCCGTGCCGTGGGCGCCGATGACCGCATCGGCGCCAAGTTCCTCAACTGCTCCGTGGGCTTCGGCGGCTCGTGCTTCCAGAAGGACATCCTGAACCTCGTGTACCTGGCCGAGAGCTTCCACCTGCCCGAGGTGGCCGACTACTGGCGCCACGTCGTGACCATGAACGAGTACCAGAAGACGCGCTTCGCCACGACCATGATCCGCCGCATGTTCAACACGGTGACCAACAAGAAGATCTGCATCTTCGGCTTCGCCTTCAAGAAGGACACGGGCGACGTGCGCGAGACCCCCGCGGCCACGATCGTCAAGTACCTGCTGGAGGAGAAGGCCAACGTGGCCGTGTACGACCCGCAGGTCATGCTCGAGGACATGATGCACGAGCTCGAGTACCAGGGCGTGAACCCCACCAACCACCCGCAGATGGAGAAGCTGCTCACAGTGTATAACGACCCGTACGAGGCCGCCAAGGACTCGCACGCCATCGCCGCGCTCACCGAGTGGGACGAGTTCAAGACGCTCGACTACGCCAAGATCTACGCCAACATGACCAAGCCCGCCTTCTTCTTCGACGGCCGCAACATCCTGCCGCACGACAAGATCGCCGAGCTCGGCGCCAAGGTGTACGTCATCGGCCGCGCCGACGTCATCTCGGGCGAGCTGCCCTTCTAGAGCGCCAGCCCCGAGCGCCAGCGTTTTATTCTTCGTGCTTTTTCCTAACGTAAATCAAATCAAGCCTTGAAAGCGCCTACACCTGTAGTGCACTGCACTGTGACCTGCTTGTCCTAGTCGCGTCAAGTCGTACAGGTCCAACCTAGTGGTGGTCTACAACGTGTCCATGAGACAAGGCAACAAAAGCTCTCCGCTACGCTCGACTAACCTAACCTTACCGCATCAACGGCGGAATGCGCGCGTCGCAGTCTTTGCTGTAGGTCTCTGCTGTAAAGCTAGCCTACGACGCTGTAAATGCAGATACATACAATACAGTAGTGCAGGCAACACCACTGCAGTGTTTCACTGCAGCTCGGCTCAATTCGTCAATTCGCTTCAAGTCCGCACTGCTGCCACCAGACCTCTTGTGCTGTGTTTTGTGGGACTTGTATCCCCGATCTATCGATCGACGTCATGGGCGAGACGTGCTCGGAATTCCTCGCGGGCGCGGGGCTCTTCATCTTCAACGGCGTGGACGTGGTCGCGGGCGTTGCGCTCTGCATCTACAGCCTCTACCTCGGCTCCAACCACTACGCGCCCGTGTGGCTCTACGGTGCGTCGGCAGCTCCAGTATCTGCCTTCCACAGCCACGGTCTCACTTTTGCGTCCTGTGCCAATAGTTCCACTGCTGGCCATCGGCAGCGTGTTGGTAGTCGCCTCGCTCATGAGCAGCTGCGGACTGGCCTTCCGAGGCTGCTCCAGGTGCCTGGCGCTGTCGTCCGACGCGCTGGTGTGGGTCTCGCTGGCTGAATTGGGTCTGGCGGTCGTCATCTTCACCCAAGGAGGGACCATCGATAAGTTCCTGCGAGAACACAGTGACGAACTCAAGCTCAGGTTGGTTGATTCATGCGTTGTTGGGCTCTGGTGGTGTTCTCTGTCTGATTTAGTAACGTGTGTACTGTGTAGTGGGGACCAATTGGCCCAATTCGAGCGTCACAAGTTCTACCCGGCGTACGCGTTGCTGGTGCTGTGCTTCATGGAAGCTCTGCGTCAACGCTACAGCACCACACTGCACCACGCCCGTCTCCGTCGCCAGTATCAGTACGAGATGCTGGCTTGAAAGGTCCATCATTAACCTCTCAAATCATGAAGAAATGGTGGTAAGTGAGGAACGTGCACTGAAAGTTGGGCCTTTAGAAGCCTGCCTAGTGAATCGTGTTGCGGCCGGCGTCGGTCACGTGGCTATCGGAAGAAATGTTGTTGACAGCACCGCCGGTCTCGGACGTGACAGCTCTTGGACGCGTTTTCTGCTTCTTCTCCTTCTTGCCGCCAAGACCCAGGATCTCGATGCACTTGTGCGTCCAGGAGCGCACCGTGAGTCCGAAGCCCTTCACGCCCATACCCTTCACGATCACAGGTTCGCCGTGGTGTCCCTGTTGGAGTTCGTCGTTGGTACTCAAGTCCAGCGTGAAATTCAGGAGGAACGGCAGCTCGTCTCGGTGGAAAGCGTACAGGATGAACGTCTTGGCCTTGTCGTGTTTGTCGTGCTTGGCATGTTTCGCCTTCTTGTTAGCAACAACGTTATTTTCCTCGTCCTGTTGCCTCAGTCCGGCGATTGTGCTGATCGATGGATCTCCACGCACGAAGCGGAAGCCGCTGGTAATCTCAGGACGTCGGCAGGACTCGGGGAGACACAGCAGTAAGCAATCCTTGTCCCTGAAATGCTCAAATACTGATACAATGGCAACATAACAGGTTAGAAGTTTGCACTCGACCCATGAGGTCAATAGTTCTGAGCTTACCGTTTGGAAGGAAGAGAGGCGCGCGTGTCTGGTGCGTGGGAACCATACTGAAGAGAGACACAATGGCTGCGTTATTGCGAAGCAAGCACCGTTCAGCTCCCCCTAGAAGCAGCTCGGCCACTTGATCGACGGGACGCGTTCCGTCAGCCTGGATCAACTCACAGACACCGCCGAGCGCGGTGACGACAGCTTTGCTGTGCGCGTGGAACTGCTCGAGTCGTGTACGCACAGTCTCCTCAGTATCGTCGCTGCGCTGAATGACGCGATCGGCTACTTCCGGCGGCGGGGGATTGAACGCCATGTGATACGTTTTACCCGTCTCCGGGTCAAGCCGTCGGCCAGCAATGCGCTTGACGACTTCATCGTCTGGCACATCCAGTGCCAGGACGCAGTCAGGAATTGTGCGAGCGGCGAGTAGGGCTTGTGCCTGGGCTTCAGTCCGCGGGAAGCCATCCAGAAGCCAGCCTCGGGCTTTGCAATCGGGCTGAGCTAGTCGCTCAAGCACCACGCCCACTATGAGCTCGTCCGGAACGAGCTGACCTCCGTCCATGTATCCCTGCGCTTGTTTCCCCAGTGACGTTCCATCGCGAATGGCCTGGCGAAGCATGTCACCAGTAGACAAGTGCACGACGTGTAGCGCGCGCACCAGAAGCTCGCACTGTGTGCCTTTACCACTCGCTGGAGCTCCCGTGATGATCAAGCGTGGCGGATTTCGCACTCGAAGAGGACCGCGAGACCCTCGGGCTCGGTAGATTTCATGCACCAGCTTCCTCGTAGTGGTGTCTCGAGATTTAGCGGCGTCAACGTGGATCACGGTCGAAATCTTGACAAAGTTTTGGCGCACAGCCTCTCGATACTCTCGGTACAGGGCGAGTCTGCGACCCACCGGTGCGGAAGACGGCGCTGCCTTCGCTTCGCTTTCTCCATCGTCGTCGCCGTCACGCTGACTCGCATCGTCGTCCGACAACTCAAGAATCGCCACTACATCGGGCTTTGCACCGTGACCGATCAGCACGCGCGCTTGGGTATCCGTGCGAGGAAATCCCTCCAACAGCCAGCCTCGAGCCTTGCAGTCTGGTTGAACCAAGCGAGCTAGCACCAGATCTTGCACGATCTCGTCCGGAACAAGGTCACCGGCGTTCATAAGGCGGTTGAGGTCGGCGTATTTTCCTGACGCATCGCTGGCTGCCTCGCATAGGAGGTCTCCAGCGCAAACGTACACAACCCCAAACTCCTTTACCAGCCTCTTGCTCTGCGTGCCCTTGCCGGACCCGGTGGGTCCAAGCAAAATTATGTTAGGCGGTCCACCAACCGATCGAGTCAGACTTCGCGGAGAGCTTGTCTGTAGTGGAGTTGGTGCAGGCGCTGGCGCAATTGACGAGCTCGCGGCTGCTGGAGGCGGTGGCATTGGCGAGGAATCTGACGCTGCAACAGGCGCTGGACTTGGTGTCGATGTTGGGAGCTCTTCTGGCATTGGATTCGCCTTCCGGTAGATATCCGAGAACAACCGCGCGTAGCCGGCAACTTGGTCCGTGTCGATGGAGTCTGTACACGCCAACAGACCACACGGCTGCTGGGTGTCGATACACTGCGCGACAAAGCACGCTCGGTGTTCGTCCTGGTTCGTCAGCACGCGAGTCGGGTCTGTAGCAGCGTCGAACCAGGCGTTGACTGCGTGGCGCTTCTGGTCCTCGTTCTTCCTCACCATAGCTTGCAGTTGATCGGCCTCAGCCTCCGAGGACAGCGGTGAGCGCACGTACACACTGGGAATGTAGTCCGCTCTCACGGCGCGGTAGAACATGAGCAACCCTCCAGTGCTCAGCCCCACCGCATCGTAACACGAGAAGGTCTGCGAGAACACTCCGAGCTCCTCGACGTCCACGCCAACATGCACTGCCAAGACCACCCCACCCAGGTCCTGTTGAAGCTTAAACAATTGGTGCAGCAGCGCCGCCAGCACCTTACGCTCCGTGCTGACCTCGGGGTCGTAGCGGAACGCCATGAGCATCAAACAGCCATTGGGCTTGCCGAACAGCAGGCGCTTCTTGAGGTAGTCGCGAACCTCGGACCAGCGCGCAAGCGCCGCCGGGATCTGGTCGTCGAACGACGCGAAACCCGCGAGCGTTGCATGAGCTGCGGTTGCCGGTTCTTCGGTGGCAGTTGGGTCTTTTGGTGCTGGTAGCTCCGCGCAAAGCGTGACTTGCGACGTCTCGATCAACGCGCCGGCGTGAGTGAGCCCGAAGAGCTTGCGGCGCGTGCTCGAGTCTGGCGCCGACAGCAACTCCACCGCCGCTTCGTCCGCGCCGTTGCAGCCACGCACTGCGAGCTCCATGGTTCTCCTACGATCCTTCCTCTGCGCGTAGGGACCAAGTGATGCGGTGGTTGGCTAGATGAACTGGAAATGACGCCCCGCAAACGGCATCACAATCCAGATATAGCGTTCTATTTCGAAGCCACTCGCAGCACGCTTACGCCAAATGCGCTCAACTCTGCCGCAGCAGCAACCCGGTTCTTGTCGCCCATTTCTCCATAGGATGGATGTTGGTTGTGCTTCAGTATATTGCTTCGTGTTCGTGTTCGTGGTGTCCGTAGCATTCGTTGCTCATTACTTTTTCTCACACGTCGCAGATATCTTGTCGGCAGTCTGTATCTTTAGCTTTAGTGCTTTAGTGCCCGTTCCGCTACCCGTCACTATCACTGGTATTGTATCTTGAGCATGGCGCCAAGCGCGACCCCCGCGAGCGAGACTGTGCATCCGCGCATGTGGACGCGGTTCTTGGCCCCGTACTACGTGTGCAACGCGGTGGCGCTGCTCATGTACGCGCCGATCCGCTTCCAGCGGTCTAGCGAGACCCTCGCCGAGCGCGAAAACTTCCTCAACTTGCCACTGGTGAAAACAATTATTGATTTTCAGTAATAGTGGGGAGTTGACAATAACAATTATTGTATTGTATTATTGCGACAGGAACAAGAGATTTTCCTGCTGGCATTGGGTTCCTGGCTGCTCAACTACCGCAAGAAGGCGACGGCAGATGGAGTCGTCGCGCTCTTCTTCATGTATGGCAAGCTGGCGGTGCTGGCGTCGCTGTACTACTTGGACATTACCCTTTTCGGGTGGTACGCGCTGGTGTGCCTTGGTAATTATTTTTGGGAACAATTACTGTACAATAACTGTTCCGCTTTACTAACATAGAATCATTTGTTGTGTGCTGCAGCGCTGTTCTCGGCCGTGGGGCAGCCTCGATATGATGGTCCGTCCAAGATCACCGAGTTGGACCCGGCGATGGTGGAAAAATTGGTCAAGAAAGCTGCTGGCTCGAAGAAGAAGGGCCCGCCGAACTCGTGGCTGGTTTTCTACTACACTGACTGGAGTGACTCTTGCGTGGAGCTTGAGCCGATGCTCGCGGATCTATCGCTCAGGTACGAGGAAATGATATATATTTGAGCTGGCGCTTTTTGAGTGCAGGATTGGGTATTGATGGCGTCACTTGCCTCGGCACCGGAATGCTATGGGGCAGATACTCGTCGAGCACGTTGCAGTTTGGCAGGGTCGATGTAAACAAGTGGTCAGATCTGGCGGTGGAGAACCGAATCAACGTGTCGACGTCGTCGTGGCAGCTTCCGAGCATGATCCTGTTTCAGGATGGCCAAGAGGTTATGCGCTTGCCGCCCATTGATGAGAACGGGAAGGTCACGAAGACGATCCTCGACCGGGTACGGTGCGCGTCGCGGGCAGAATGCGTTCTACTTTACAGAATTGCTCACACTTGTGCTTCTGGTGACTATTTGTTGGATATAGGCGGGTCTTGTTGTTGTTTTCAGGCTTCAGGAACTGAAGGAAGGCAAGCCAACCGCCTTCAAACCCAAAACCAGTTAGAGCGAAAGGGTGGCGTGGAATCTCAGAGGGTGCCGAGTTCAGTGATGATAACGCTGTAGCAATGTGCCCGCTATGTTTGCATCGGTCTATTGCTGAAGAACGAAGCCTTACATTCCAATCCGCCACCAAACACCTCCGAGCCGCCTGTTTGCATCCCCCTCGAAGCGCATGATCTGGTATCGCAAGGCTTTTCGTAAAATATCAATTCGTTCGACGACGTGCTGGTGATAGCACCAGGTTTAGGCCGCACAGTACAGTACAACCATGATTTGCGAGGCAGTGTATAACGGGTCGGACCGCGAGAAGCTACCGATTGGATCGTGTTGCTGCTACAGAAAGTGTTATTAAACTAGCTGAGTAGCTCGAGTCGAGTTGCTAGTGGGCCGACCTCTTACGTACAGTAAAACTGTACATTTGACGACGCCCCCAAAGCATCAGCCTAAGCTTATCAGCGCTACTAGTCAATTTTTGAAGTGTAAGCCTAGGCTTTAGACCCCTGCCTTGCTGTAAGCTTCTGCTGTGCAGTCAAATGTATTTAGTACCTTTACCATATAGATAGTAAATAGTTCTAGCTATCTATACTAGTCATGGGCATCGAACCAGCTACAGAAACTACTGCGATGGTTTTCAGTACCTGCTGGGGGACAGAATAGCTGCCTTACTTGATCGCAGTCCGGTATTGCTAGCACAGTTATGCATCAAAACACCTCCTGCCAGCTGTGTTGCTCTTAATTAAAACTGCATGCACAGGTAGCAAGGGAACCAACCTGACCGAGGCTGCGCTTTGTTGCAAGTTTTTGCAAGCCTAGCTCGAGTCAGCACGAATGCTGCAAGTTTTTGCGAACCTAGCTCGAGTCGGCACGAATGCTGGTCATTCGTGAGCAAATAAGCTCCAACACAGCGTTGTGCTTTCGGATGGTTGCTATGTGCCCGTTGCACCAAGAGTGATGAGCTGATAGCCGTGCACTCAACCTAGCTATCGAGCTTCGGAGATGTAGCATGTCTGACATCGCCCAGCACGCCTTCCTGCGCGGCATCAAAATTGCCAGCAGCTCCTACCCTGCATCAAAAAGCAGTGCCAGCAATGCAACAATTCGTCATCGCATCTAAATCTTGCAGCGCCGAACACAAGCCCTTCGCTGAGGCAACACTCTCATGGGTCAAGATCGCCACGACAGAGTCCCAAGAGCGATCCGACGACCTCATACCGCCGTGATCGAAGGGGCGCCGTGCACTTATGTACCATTACTTTAAGGCCCTCCGATGACGGTGCCCTTACTGAAAGTCTGTGAGGAGTCTCTTGGCCCCTCGTCCGAGGGGCCCAAAAGCCCACTATACCCGAGTAAAATTCGGGGAGGTCGAGGGCTCCGCCCCCTGCTATACATTGCAACCCTAAACCTACTTATTTCATCTAATCAATCACCAGACACTACGGTAAGGAGAGGTATACCGGTACCAAGTCATTATAATGGGACTTCGTCCCAATGATAGCTTCAAATAATGGATGCGAGGCTTGTCTTTGCAGGACACAAAAACTAGTCTACAAGAATATATTACGGGGATCCAGTAATTTACGTATTCCTGTGCGTTGTATCAGCATAGGTTATAGTGGTCATTCATCGTAGTCAATGGTCTCTTTCACAGCAACATCTGTGACAGATAAGTACCTATAGGAGCACTTAATTATAGTATTGGAAAATACAAGGTACCGCATTTCGCATGTAGAGCGCCACAGCGACTTAAGCGATACACCTTTATTTTGACCAATCACCGTCCTTAAAAAATGTGTGTTAGATCGCACGTAGAGCGATACACCCTATATTGGGTACTTTACACATTTTTTTGAGCAACGCCGGAGCACCAGTTTGACAATGGCGCACAAGCGCCCGCAAGGAAGACCGAATCTTGGCGGGATCGGCCGTCATGTACAGCAGTACCAGCTGACAGGGGAAACTGTCGAGAAAAAGCTCGCAGTTGTCGCTCATTACAAGCAGTGTAAGGCTATCAAGACGACTATCAAGCACTATTATCCTAACCTTAGTAGCAGATCCTACAACAGCAAGCGCACTACGATTCTGCGGTGGGCTCGGGAGATCAAGCGTCTTAACGCCGCTGCGGCTGAAGGCAAGGGCACCCACAAGAAAGTGCGCAGCGTCGGTACGGCAACCGTGTTGTCGGCTGAGAGCGAGGCCTACTTGGCTCAATGGGTAAACGAGCTGCGAGATTCTACCAAGATGCTGCAGGATAAGGCTCTAGATGTAGCCGAGGAGGCTGAAGTACTCGGTTTTGCAACTGGGTGCTGAAAGCGTGGGGCGAGCTCTCCTCTGAGACAATATCCAATGGTTTTTGCGCGAGCGGATTGCTACCGAGCGATAACTGCATTGCCTGCGCAGAGTTGATCGCCGATCTAGAGGAGCTGCATCTACTACACCTTTGCCAATCCAAGTTGGCAGCAGTGTAAAACGGTGTGAAGTAACTTAAGTAAGATCCAAAAATCGGAAAATATTTTCTGAAATTAGTATTTAGAGCAATGTGGATTTAGTGGAGAGCAAACTCCAAAAAGCGACGGTCTCAAGTCGCAGTCTGCTTGCTGCCAGCGCCCGCAGCACGGCTGCTACAGGTAGTCGCCTGATGGAATCGTGAAGGACATCCCGTGCGCCACTAGCCTCCAATACCACCCAGGACAGGATGCGCCTACTGTCGAGACAGCCACCCGCCCGGGCCGCACGACAGTACCGAGCGAGCAGCTTCACCGTGAGAGGGGCTGGCTGGATCTCTGAACGACCTGTAGCGACACACATCTCAGCAGATGATGGCGGCGTGCGTCCCCAAGACAATGAAGAGCGACGGCGGTCTCTAGCGCGGCGAGAGAGACGGACTGCGCGGTCATTTTAAGCTGAGGGTGAGTCGCGGCCCTAGAGATTGGACACACGCTGCGTGACAGAGGGAAATACGGCAGGCGACGTGGCCACAGCGACGCGCAGATGGGGATGGGGCGAGAAGGATCAAAGGCGAGGAGGGGAGAAAGAGGAGGAAGGCGGAGGATGTGGAAGAACTCTGCAGTCAAGACGGCCCATGCCGTGCTCAAGCCACAATCGACCTGTACCATGCGAATTGCAGCTTCGCTTCATTGGATTTACCCATGATCTCCTTGATGGAACGAAGATTCCCAGCCGCGCTCTCCATCGCCGTTGCTGCACTGTACTATGTAGATACCCACAGCGAAGAATCCTGCGTGGTTTGCTCTGGACTAAATCCGCATTGAGTTACAGTAATTTTTGAAAAATATGTTTTTGAAAAATTAAAAATCTAATTACGGGACACCCCGTTTTGCCTTACACTGCTGCCAACTTGGATTGGCAAAGGTGTAGAGGGCGATCCTGTTGAGTTGAGCCATGACTTCTTGCTAGACGACATTGTAGAGGAAGCAGTCGTCTAACTTCAAAAATAGTCACCTGTCCCATTTTTTTTGGTTTTACATCAATTTTGGGTAAGGTGTGAAAATAACCCTAAGTACTTGGTATGGGTGTGTTTCTCAACATGCGAAATGCGGTACATTAATATTCAAAAAATTGGAGTAGCGTCTACTTTCAACGCCAACAAAAAACTCGAAGTCCTTTAAGTTCCTTAGTTTCGGTATGACTTTGGTATTTTGGTCTGGCACAAAAATCAAGTACCAAAGATATGTATTGAAGTTAGGGTGCCTACTAAACCTGCTGGGGCTGCTGAAGCTGCAAGCTAATCACCTTCCGTAGGTAGCACAACCTCAAGTAGCCTACCACTTCGTACAGAGAGTCCTTCCAGTAGTCAGACCAGGTTTCAGGAGTTGCACCAAACAGTAGTAGTTCCAACACCACCAAGCACCAAATGCCACACGACGTACCATCCCTCTGCTGGCAGTGGGCAATGACGTGGTAGTCCAGTTGATCGGTCATGTCCAGCATCTTCTCAACCACGGTGAGAACTGCTTCCTTCAGCGCGGACAAATTGCTAGTCAGTTGCATGGGGTCAAACAGGTAGCAGATCTTCGTCTCCTTATTCACGAAAAATGCACCCCAGCGGTTCCCCAAGTTAATCACGCTGATGACGAACTTGACCCTGGCATTCGCAGCGCCATATCCTTTTGCTGTGCGCATCTTCTGATCAGCATCATCAAAGCCGTAAAAACGAGTTGACAATGGCAACATCCAAATACTCGGATTGGAGTGCCAAAAGGCCACCGATGATAGACCCCGAGTGCAGCCAGAGCTTCTCTCGAAAATCCAGGAATTCACAGCCATGCATGTTGCACGAATTGACCCTAAGAAAATAAACCACACAGAAAATTATACAAATGTTCAGTACATTTTTGGTTAGGGCCTGAAAGCATTTACCCACCCGGCCGAAGATGTTGTGAACTGCGAAGCTAAACAGCTTGTAACGGTTCGCGTTGCTGTTATGAGTCGAGTCGACCAGAACAACCTCGGGGAAGGCTGCAAAGAGACGCTTCTGCCGCGCTGACTGGAACGTTATCACTTGCACCACGTTGGTCTCCTTGTCAATGACGAACTCCGCCACATTTCCAGTGTTCATCTCACAGAATTCGTCCAGCACGGAGACAGCGCGCTCCGCATCCGATCGGCCTCCGTTAAAGCACTTCTTAGCGTCCTGGATCATGTTATGCACGTCTCGTAGAATCGTTCGCTTGCCTTTATAGAACACCATACCAAATTTTGTTAGTGTTTCGTGCAATATACAGAATACACACCAAAACCACCAACCTGTTTTGGCTCGAAGATAACCCTAATATCCCTCGTGGCTTGGCCCCCGCCTTGCTCATGACTGCCACATCGCGGTGTAGCTCCGGATCCAAGACGCGTCTGTTCTCAGCATAGTTATACCACTGATGCTCGGTGAGAGAATGGCTGTGCGTTCCCGTTGCATTCACAACGATATGAAATCCAACGCCACTCGGTCGACAACAAACCCGTGCGTTGACACGAGCAGTACACGCCACAAAACGGACGGCGTCATGCTGCCGCAAGCCTTCTCCACGACTTTCGTACGGAATACCATGAGTGCACACGAACGTCCTGCTGTATTTCTCCCATGACTCTGGCAATAGTGTGTTACCTGTGCTCTGTCGGTGGGCGCGAACCTTTCTCGACTTCGGCTTACTTTGTTTCTTTTTGACCTCTTTCTGCGCGGCAGCAATTTGCTTGTTCCTGGACTTAATTGAAGTACTTGTGCGGGACGGGAAGCGCTGGTACGTAGCCTCTTGGAACTCGTCGAACGCTTCGTAGAAACTTTTCCACGACGACCAGTACATAGGAAATCCTTCCAAGTAGCCACCGACGACTGGTACATCTTCCACTCCACCTTGACTTTCCGATTCTTCGTCCTCGCACTAGACAGGCTTTTGGTTCGCTTTCGGGTTTTGGTGCTTCTTCGGTGTTTAGTGCGCCTTCAGTGTTTGATGCCACTTTGGGTTTTGGTACTTCTTCGGTGTCGGCACACTATTCGCAGCGAAATCGATGTCGCTAGCGCGTCCAATACCGTCACAAGAGGCTCCATCGTCATCGCCCTCAGGTGTTTGTCGATCGTCGTTGTAGTCCGAATCGCCACTGTTGTCCGGATACTCATCTTCATCCTCTTCCTCAAGCTGCGCCAATACATCCGCTAGCGCTGCTTCACCTTCACTTTCACCGTCGTTGTCAGCTGCCAGATGACTGGCCAGGCGGGACTCCCAACGCTCAGCTTGGTCGGCACGGGATTGACTGTATGCCCGGTCCGCTTCAGCGTTTCGGAGCCGATCCTCGTCAGCTTGGCAGCGTAGGGGGGAGCGTCTAGACTTCGGCACTGCGTTTTCTTGCTGCTGTCGCTTCTTCGCCCCAAGCCGTATCCGCTCTGCTTCTGCTTCTTCTGGTGGCGTGAGTGAGGGCGGATCGGTGGTGGGAGGAGCTTGGGCTGAGCTTGCTTGGCTGGGTGTTGCATTCACAGTGACCATCTCGAGAGGAGCTTCTGGATGCACATCGCGAGCTCCATCGGCAGCTATGTCGTCCTCCGGGGCCTGACATAGAGTATGGATACGTACAGGTTAGCCTTAAGCAGGGAATACATGAACTAACTCACGCGTACGCACTATGCCACGGGGTCAGGACCTGATCGCTTGCGGCTTGCGGGGGAGGAGGGAGGATTTTGGACTGGCGACAGGAGGCCACTGATTTTTTTTCTAAAAACGAATTTGTCTTACCAGCCAGTCCAAAGGTAAGTTTATCTTACGCAGCTGCGCGATAGCAGCCGCTGATTTGTTTACTCTGGATATATTGAATATCCCCAAAACTGCACCAAATAGCACAGAAAGTATGATCACCGGAAGTCATTATGATAGGTCGGCAGTTTTTCTGGGACGGCCGAATCTTATACACGACAAATACTAATTTATAAAGTGTACTTTGAGTTCAAAGAAGGAGAAAGGTATCTACTTCGAAGTACTTTTCATTTAAAGAATAGTGCACTACCACGGTTTGAAGATTGGAGTAACGCAAGTGCGGCGTCATACAGCTCTCTACTGCACGATAGACTTACCGGTAGCTCATTCGCACGTCGGAGTTTGGCCTTCCCCAAGTGTGGAAGCTTGTAGAGATTGCCGCCAGCCTCCTCCAAGATTGCCCGCATGCACGCCTGTAGCGTAAGAAAGATGTTGTCCACAGTGTCGGGTTTGAGCTCCCGAATGCGTCCTCAACCGACGCTATAAGCGCATCGATGCCCTTCCTTGGTAGACAGTGTTGAATGCTCTGCATTGAAGCAAAAACTCCCAAGTCAAGGCAATTGAGCTCGGGTGAGTTGGCTGCTTGGCATAACAGCCTGATGTTCCACCCTCCTTCTGTGCCCGCTGCGACAACGTCCGGATCGGTTGGCGACACGTGCGGCTTCGCATTATCTTGTTGCACGAAGATGAACTGGCGACGGTCCTTCCTTGGCCACTTCGACTTGATAGCTGGGAACACCTTGGTGATCAGATAGTCCTTGTAGACATTTCGATCGACGGTATCAAGATTGCGTGTGCAAATTTCCCCCTTGGCTCTATTCTTGCTTTTACGCTGTGCCTTATACTTCTCCGTGAAAGACATGAGCCCCACCTTGCCATCCCATCTCTGCTTACGGTGTGGATCGTACCTACACAGAAATTTCATACACAGTGTCAAAGGTTATCCACAGTATAAAATTATAAAAATATAGAGACTTACCGAGGGCGTGCGAGTGCTGCCAGGAACATGGTCTTGGGTATGAAGCGCTTGCTCTTCCAGGCTCGTGGAGGCATCTCTTCACCGTCAAATACAAGGTAGGAACGTCTGTTGCGGTCTGCGTAGAACCACTTCTCATCGACGTGGACCACGTTGTGCATCGACTCGAAGCGTAACGTCTTGTCGTCGATGAACGACAGCGCATGTTCGACACGGTCCAGCGGGTCAGCGCCGGCTTGATAAACGTCGTACGACGCCGTACCATGCCTTCCTTCACAGCTTGTCGTACTAGGTGCCGGGAGAGCCCTGAAGCAGCCGCAACGCGCCTCTCAACTGTCCTATCCTCCACAGGAACACTCGCCAGCTTCGTCCGCCTTCATCTCGATTCTTACGCTTCCTGCCGCTGCTCTGCTTGATCCGGCTAGCCCACTCGCCACCAGGAACACCAGCCGCCACCGCAGCCGTGTAGCGCTTCCAAATAGCGCTCACGGGGGTCGGGTCACGCTTCACATGGGCCCCGACGCGGGCGAAGGCTCCTCGGGGTAGAACTCCATTGTCACTTAGCTTGAGGAGCTCGTCGATGATGCCTCTGCGCTCCATGTCCACCAGGTTGGCCTTCGTTATGTTAGTGGGTTTGCCGCGAATGTACTTGTTCCGCTGGCAAAGCTCGCAAGTTTCGACGTACGAGCGGATGGACTTCACCATACCAGGCCAGTAGTATTTCGACGCCACGAGTAGCTGTGTCTTTGCCTGCCCCGGATGCCCACGAGTCGGCGTATCGTGCTCCTCGTGCATGATGGTATTTCTTAGCGCGGCGTCTGCCGGAACACACACTCGAGCAGGAGCACCAGGCCGAATCCGGAAGAGTATCAGCCCTTCTGAGAGCTCGAAGCGCTGGTATTTGCGCGGGCGAGTTGCGTCGGACGTGAGCAAGCTTCATATTGGCCCAAAGTATTTGTCGGAAGAATAAAGACGACTGCATTCCGCCGAGATGTCGACTGCTGTTGAAGTTGAGTGAGCAAAGAGTGCTTCTTCATCTGCAGGTTCTTGACGCGTGAGCGATTTCAACAGGGCCGAAAGGCTAACGGCTCGGCTGGTGCCGTCGTTCCAGCTCGGATTGCGTGAGATCGTGCGGCCACCACGTTTGTAGCACCCGGAACCCACTTGAACTGGGGTTGAAAGAGTGCAAGCTCGTTCAGCTAGCGAGCGAGTCGTTGAGAGCACGTCTGCTGCTGTAAAATGCCCTCAATAGTGCGGTGGTCGGTATTTATGAAGAATGGTCGGTCGATCAGATAGACTTTCCAAACTCGCATCGCGTGTAGCGCAGCTAACAATTCCTTTTCGCGGGTGGGGTAGATGAGTTCCGCTTTTGAAAGCTTGCGTCCATTGAACGCGATGATCTGCTCGCGGCCGGAATCATCGTGCTGGAAAAGGTATCCCCCGATTGCAAAGTCAGAAGCATCCATGCTGACGTGAAATGGCTTCGCAAAGTCTGGGTGTGCGAGGACGGGAGGGGAAGCTAGCTTACGCTTCAGCTCCTCGAATGCCTGCTGCTCGATCAGGTGATTGGATCACGACGGCTCTTGCCTTTCGTCAGTTCGGTGAGCGGAGCTATCAGGTCACCGAAACCCTCGCAGAACTTCATCACATACACGCAGGTGCCAAGAAAGGACTGCAGTTCCGGCTTCGTGCGAGAAGTTGGTCAGTCTTTTATCGATTGACTCTTGCTGGGGTCCATCCGGACGCCATCCTAGCCGACGATATCACCGAGGCATGGGATCTCAGTAGCACAAAATGTGCACTACTCGATTTTGATGTAGAGATTCTGCTCAGCGCACATTGCTAACACCTTTTCCAGGGCAGCGAGGTGGTCGTCGATCGAGTCGGAGCATGTAAACACGAACAGGCCGTCGAAGTAGGTTTGACAGTAGGACTGGAGATCCGAGAACACCGCTTGAACGAGGCGGTTAAAGGACGACGGGCTGCTTGAAATACCCATCGGCGTAACCAAGTACTCGAATGAGCCGTCAGGGGTAGCGAATGCTGTGAAAGGTATAGATTCTTCGACCAGCTTCACTTGGAAAAATCCCCACAGCAAGTCCATGGCGGAAAACAACTTGCCCTTGGACATGGCACGCAGAATATCGTCTTTGCGTGGGATTGGGTTAGCAGGCACACGGATTTTTGTGTTCAGGCCCCGAAAGTCGTGAACTATTCGCCATTCTCCATTCTTCTTCTTGACGCAGAAGGTTGAGGCGCAGTACGGCGAACTGGAGGGTCGGATCATCTTGGCCTCCGCTGACATGCAAATTTCGTGATAAAGTATTTCGCAGTCATCTACCCCACTCGCCAGGCTGGCATGGACGCCAAGATCGAGCTGACAGACGACGTTCCTATTCACCGCAAGCAATTTCCGGTTTCTGCTGAGCAGCGCGAGGCCATTCGCGCGTGGACTACTGAGATGCTGGCTAAGCAGGAGAGGTTTTTAGATTTTCCCACGCCTGGTCCGCCTTGCTGGGCTCGTCACTGGGATTCACGAAGAAGCAGAACTCGTTGTCGCACTCACGAAGGAGACGACGAAGGTGTCGAGGACGAACTAGCCTCGTAGCTCCGACGGACGAGTGATGCCCATGCAGATAGTAGTAGTTGAGGAGCGCGTCGTCGTCTGATATGTCTTTTTGGCGGACGCCGCGGCGATGTCCCGCGATGCGTCGAGCCGGTGGGACCGGAACGCAGGGGTGAAAAGCAAATGCAGATAATTGGTCGCGCGGCCGGACAGTCTTGAGCTTCCAGTCAATATCGGGGTTGGTGTCAACTAGCCACGGCATACCGAGGAGAATATCCTTTCCTCCAGGAATATCCAATACAAACGCCTTGGAGCGGTAAAGAGCAAATCCGTCCAAAGCAAACTTGAGATTGACGACTCGTCTTGGAATGACCGTGGTCGAGCCGCTTCCCAAGCGAATTATCAGGGGTTTAGAGTAGTCTCGAACCGGCAACTGCAGAGACTCAACGATTCGTGGTGATACCGCGTTGAACGAAGCACCACTGTCGATAAATGCAGAAGCAGCATGGTTGCCAAGATGACCATGCTGCTCTAGGTAGCCATACATTTTGTTGGGGCTCGATCTGCATACCGCTTCATCAGTGCCATAATTGAAGCTCTGTGAGGTGATAGGAGACCGACCCCTGGATTGACGGCTTGCAATCGAATGGCGAACGGCTGCAGCGTCAGACTCGGTGGGGCGCCAGCCCACCGAGTCACCTAGTTTTTCTGCTTGCCACCGCCACCTTACTGCCGATCGGGGCAGGCAGGGGCGATGTGACCCACCTCACCGCAGTTGTGGCATGTAGGTACAAAACCAGTCGCTTTAGGCTGATTAGCCCCCGAGGCGGGTTTGCTCTTCCGGGAGTTGGGCTTAGTCGAGCCGGCAGCCGGTCGGGTTGAAGCCGAAGTTGAAGTTGACCCCGAACCCTTCTGATTCTGAATCTGGTTTTGGTTTTGGCGGAACTTGGAGGGCTTGCGCGCGTTCAAAGCGCTGCGCGTGATCGATGGTTTCTTGCAGCGTAAACGGGATGTTCTGAGAGATGTGACTCGAGGTTTCCGGCCGCAGATTTTGCTGGTACAGCCAGCGCTTGACCATTTCAGGCAGCTCCAGCGATGATTGGGAGAGCAGTAGCATGAACTTCGAAGTATATTCATGCTGCGAGCCTGTCACCTGGAGGTCGTGCAATTTAGAGAGTAGCTTGAACTCGAAATCGCTTTCGCGGAAGCGAACACGGATCTGCTGTTTGAATAGGAACCATGTCCGAGGCTGGTCGCCGAGGATGTTCTTGAACTTCCGGTACCAGGACATAGCATCCGGTCCCAAGAACGGGACGACCATGTCGACGAATCGCGAGTCGCAGCTGTCGCGCTCGACAGCAAAGCTGCTTAGGTGCTCTTCAATAGCGAAGAGCCATAGCTCTAGGTCCTCGCCGGCACGCCCTTAGAACTTTGGAGTGAGTAGCACGAGACTGCTGCTCAAACATCTCGCGCTGAAAGTTGCTCTGTTGCTCCATGAACGATTGGAATTGCTGCTGCTGCAGCTGCATGGCCTGTTGCTGCACAACCATCATGTGCAGGAGCTGGCCAAGAACAGCGTCACTAGTGCCCGCCCCGGGTTGTGGCATAGCCGCACCGGGGAATTGAGGGGGTGGCGACGTTGAAGATGGTGCACCCGGTCCTTGCGGTGCCGGCGTGCGAGAGGGGGTAGAAGCAGGCTGCCCTGGCGCCGGAGACTGATCCATGTCGTTGTCGTCAATCCTTGGTTGCTGGCGCGGTCGCAGGTTCGGCGATGTCTCTTCAGCAGCACGGGGAGTCTTGGGTCTTTGCATGCAATGTAGTCGCACTTAGTCGGGTGTACACGGTAGTGCCTCAAAATACGGTCGTACAGAGTTTTCACTGCTAATTTCGAAATTGTCACGTGTTCTGTAGACGAACGGAGTCTTGGGAAGAGGACTTGAGGTTGAACAGGAAAATGAAGGCTGAGATTGAATGAAGTGAATGAAGGAAGCTCTCGAGCTACGGCTGTTACCTAGGCTTACAGAGGGAGCTCGGATGTGCCTGTCGGTCCGTTGCACAACGGACGCTGCTGGGATTGGTTTCAGGTTGCTCGTTGCGGGCAGCTAGTTGCAGGTTGCTGGGTAGGCGATGCATCATCGTAAAAAAACCATTAGAGCTGGAGTGAGCTGAGAGCTGATTCAACGAGTGCGCGTGGTAGGTCAGTGGCCTGCAATGGGACCTTGAAGACTCGCCGTGAGCTGTGGCGACCCGAAAATCGCTACATGTTGAAACGCGATGTTATATTTTTTTTGCCATGGCGCGTGCTCATTGAAAAATATATTTTCGAGCTCGCGCAGCCCTTGCTTCCTCTTGGTAGGTGGGTCTGTGAATCAATTCATACCGTTTCTTCTTTGGGGCTATCGAGCAGGCGGAGTTTCCATCACGCAATTCAATGCTCGAGTATTATAGTCCAAGAATCGAGAATGAGGCTCGATTGGCCTCCCACGGACCTCCTTGGATGCTTGGATTTCTGGGAGCAGTATAATCCATGCTCTCATGATACGTAGTACCGCGTAAGTAGAATTTCCGATCAAGTGTCTAGCTTGCTCTTAGCCCATCTGCTCCGATCTTTCCAAGGAACATGCAGCTTCACAGCAAACCCTCCTATCTACAGACAATCATGTTGGCTACCTGCAGTGGGAGAGATTAGCGAGCTACGTGAGGCTTTCCTCCACTATTCTGTTGCTTACTAAGTTTAAACGTATACTGAGCTTACCCCATTCAGCCACGCGCTTCAGTTGGAGTTGTGGTGTCCTTTGCACCAGGTTAGTTTTGCCTGTTCCGAGACAGTTGCGTCTCCAATATCTTCTATATCTTCTAGCAAATTACAGCACTGTAACGGTAGACAGCAGGCGACGCAAGGGCTCCTTGCCAGTGTGCAGCGCAGACCCAACGCCAATCGCGACCAAAGTGTACGAGCCATGAGAAGGAAACCGAGATCATGGCTGGGCGAAGAGTAAAGATAATAGCGATCATGAAAACGTTGAGAACTGCATTGAGCTACCGCTGGCGCGAATATTGTCGCTAGGATCTGGGTGTAGAGAGCTCAGGAGATCTCAGGAGATATGGGACTGATAGGCTAAAGCGTTAGAGCGTTGCTACCCAGGCGGCCCCCAAACACATCGTCCCCACGAAGCAACGCCAACTGAACCACTCATGTAATTGCAGCGCAGTAGCAGTTGACATGGCCGTCAGACGCCTTTCAACATGATTAATACCAACTCCACTAGTTGATGCACGCGGTACCGAGAGTGGCCGTGGAGGTGGAAGCCTCAAATTAACTTCGCTGGGTTGCACGCGCTGCTGCGAGAAATGGCTCGGCATACTTCTCATGCGCTAACAGTCACCGCGAAAGTGTGAACAAAGATCGCTGCGAGTCGCAGTCTGCGACTGGTTGGTACTGTATCCTACAGCCAGGCAGGGGGTAAGGTTTCCTGTCGAGTTCGCTCGGGTTTGATGAGATAGATGCTGCACCCCTCGATGATACGCAGCCCACTGCCCACTGCTATCCCGTGCACAACAGTGCTCGATGTTTTGAACACTTCTCGTCCATAACTGCCGCTCTCGGAAGCTTCGCTGGGGCTCAATGGTCAGACCTGCCTTCTTACGGAGTCTCGCCTGCCTGCCTTTGCGAGCGCCGAGAACCGATACCCCGTTTATCATGCGGCCAGCTCGAGCCCATGACGAAGGATTTGCTCGGCTGCCTTCTCCGCATGACGATCTCTCCTTCTATTTGTAGCGAGCTGTACTAAACGCAGCGGGCGGCGATCCAGCAGCCAGGAGCGAGCTGAATCGATCGACTCAACATCTGTGGGTGGTCAACATCGACACGCTGCGTGGGACGGCTTAATGTTCCGAAAAAGCATACTCACGAGTTGACTCCAGCTCGCTGGCGGCTCCGGCACCGAAGGTATCAGCTCCAGACCAAAATCATCTTGCGCGCGTGGATTGTGGAAGAAATCACACGCCCCCTCTGTTGGTACGTACCTGGCGCCGCTAGCTTTGCGGGTAGCCGTCCCATGCGCGGCACTGGCCACCGCTGGCGCCACTGCGAGTCGTCTCATGCCTTGTGCTCGACCACTTGACTAGACCCGGCGTTAGTGGTGGGTGCGTTTCCGGCCTCGACGTCTTCTTGGCGCCAGAGCAGCACTATCCGCCCATCAGTGCATACCTACGACTACGAGTCGAGCGTGAAGGAAGGGGGAAATCCAATGGACATCCTGGCTTCGTGGACGAAACACCCGTGTTGACTCGCAGGAAAATTCCACAGCCTTTCGCCTAGGCTCGGAGTAACGCACGCCGCCGCTGAGCGTCCAGCGCCAGCGCCGGAGGGTCATTACCGGATTTGCCGGCCGGCGAAGAAGACAGCCTCCAACGCAATATATCGACGATGGTCGGCTCCAGTGTGCAGGACGTGTGCATGCCCCCAAGCTGGCGCTCACACTCCGAGGGGGCCACCAAGGCCGCACAGACGCTGCAGTCGCAGCCCGCCTCACTGCCGGACAGGACCATCACATTCGCGCGCTGCTCGGCGTTCTACGTGCGGACGTCGGACGGCATCGTCTTCCAGGACGAGGAGTTTCAGCGCCAGACGATCGCCAAGGCCGAGCGTCTCATTGAGACCGCGCTCAGCCCCGAGAGCTCGGAGCGCAACGCGCTCATCGCCAAGACGGCGCTCAAGTACCGCGAGATGCGCTCGCGGCGACCGAACGGCGCGGCCAACGACCTGCGGATCCCCGAGCTGGCCTCCCGCGCGCAGAGCTGCCCCGTCCCGATAGACCGAACCTAGAGACCCAACTTACACACGTCCATGGTCTCACCTCCCTCCGCCCCCCCCTTATAAACCTTAGACTGGAAGTAAAGTATTTTAAGTAAAGAAGCTGCATGTTGATGAACAAACATATGCGTCGAGCTATGCTATCTACTCCACGCGGTTTAGGGCGGATAGATCCCAGGGACAAGAACCCATGTCGTGGCTTTGGGGCATGATCAATCGCGCGCCTCGAAACTGCAAGCTGTTGAACTCTATACGCTGCTTGTCGACAAGCGAGAGCCCCTCACCGGAATCTTCAAGTGCCCTCCTTCAAAGCATTGGCAACCGGATCCCAGCACCTCTGCCGCTGCGTAAATGAGTTCGCCTGAGCAAGCACTTCAACTTGAGCTGTATTTATTCAATACTACTGAGGCTTGGCTACCTTTTCGACAGTTGAAGAGCAAATGGGCACAAATGAGTTGACGCTGAAATGTACCCATCTTGATCTTCAATGCGATTGACAATTTACCGCCCCATAGTAACTCCCATAGGAAAATCCATTGAGAACAATGTGCGGCGACTCCTGCAGCGAGTGCTGCTCCGGCAGCGCGCTCTTCGTCTTCAACGGCGTCGACCTCGTATGCGGCATCGCGCTCACCGTCTACAGCCTCTACCTCGGTCCGTACAATACTCCGTAATATTACAAAAGCTTATTGGTTTTATTAAATAAATTAACACAGGACTCAACCACTACGCCCCGGAATGGCTCTACGCGCCAATCCTGGCGGTGGGGGGTCTACTGATCCTCTCGGTACTCATGAGCTGGTGCGGGGCGTCTAACCGCAGCTGCTCCGTGTGCCTCTCGCTGTCCTCGTCGCTGCTGATTCTCCTGGCGCTGGCAGAGCTGGCACTAGCGGTGGTGATCTTCACGCAAGGAGCCACAATTGACCGATTCCTGCGTCAACATCAACAAGAACTCAAGATCACGTACGTGAACACATTTTATATTTTATTTTATGTCGCGGGAATCTTACTTATTTGTTTTTATTTTATAATGCCAGAGACGATCAGCTGCGTCGTCTTGAGGAAGACAAGTTCATCCCGGCGTATGGACTGTTGACGCTGTTCGTGATGGAGGTGCTGAGGTTCTGCTGCAGTAGTGAGCTGCATCGCGCTCGGCGCCACCGGAAGTATCACTACCGACAACTGAGTGCACTCCGAGATTTGGATGATGAGCTTCTGACCGTCAAGAAGGAAAAGGTGGGGGCAAAGTGATTTTATCTACTGTATATGCGTCGTAAACGCTCACTTGTTTTTTTCTTTCCAGGATATCTCGAGCAAGTACGCTTCGCTGAAGGACAAGTATAGGCAGAAATATGTGGCACCCGAAGCTGTTCCCATGACGGGGAAGCCGGCTGGAGCTTTCTACGTTTGAAGAAGACAGAACTAAAGTATGAAGGATCTACCAGTGGTAGAATCTCTATTTTTCTGCCAGCGTATATTGCAGTGGATCTGCGGCATTGTGAAGCGTACACTAAAGCGAGACTTTGAGTCGGTGAGCTATGGAGCGAAGCGAGAGGTGCAGCTCGCCGTGCCGTTGGCCGCATTCAATGGAATTCGTTGCCATTTGCTGAACCGCCTGGTCGAGTTTCTCTTGTTGGTCTACTTGCACAGCTTTGACTTCGTTGCTCAGAGCTCGGATCTCTCGGGAACAGATCGTCATGCCCTCGTCGACCGCGCAACGAATTCGAGCGTGGTTTTTCAGTAGGTTGTCGACGGCGTCTTTCGTGCGATGCTCTTGGGATGCTACAGCGTCGGAGAGCGCGTCTACGCGTTGAGTAAGTTGAGTTTTGTCCATTTTCCCCTGTCGATCGATAGCTTCTTGCAGAGCATTGAGCTTCCCCAGCCACTGGGACTGTTGCTTAGAGACTGCACTACGAAGCGCCGAGTATTCTTTTGCCAACACCTGCACGTCGCTTGCGACAGTAGTCGTGGCTCCATTCGTCTGTTCTTTAAGCGCAAACAGCTCGACTTGGAGCTGACTGTTCTCTTCCTTCAGCCGTTTTAGAGCTTCTGTGGCATCTTCCTGGGATATTTGCAGCGACTTTTGCAAATGTGCAGCCTCGCGTTCGCGTGTCATGAGGTCTTCGGACGAGTTTTTCAGGAGCGCTAGCTCGGCTTGAGACTCGTACAAGGCCAACTCGAGCTTGGAACACGTCTCTTGAACGTTGAGGAAGCGTCGCTCTGATGTTTCCTGCAGCTGCCGACGCTTTCCATCCATTCGTGGCACCTGTGACTCTAGCAGTCTGATCGAGCCTTCCAACTTGGCCACTCGGTCTTGTAGCTGAGATGTCGTAGCAACAAACTGCTTCTGCAACTCCTCTTTTAAGTGTCAGACGGCGCGAGGTCAAGTCATTGTCCGTAGTAACACGTCGCAACAACTTACCAACTTCACACGTGAAGACATCAGACAGGGAGTTGAAGGCGTCGTGCAGCATGTCGACCTGTAAACAAAGTGCCCCATCTTGAGTTAATATGAGGAACAGAAGATGAGGTCTACGTCTATCGTAAGCCACCTTGCCAACGAGTTCCTGCAAGGTCTCATCTCGTTGGGTCACCTCTCGGCTTTGGATCTGGAATCAAGCGCTCAGCTGCAAGACCTAGCCCACACCACGCACGGGAACTACAGTACCACACCACCTCCTTACCTCGAGGTTGTTCTTGAGCTCTTCAACATCCGAAACCAACGCATTCTGCGCAGCACCAGACAGAGGTGAGCATCCCAAGACGCAAGTACCGATTCCATTCAGAACGCACCGTCTTCTTGGTGAGCGACACAGCCGACAAGGACTTGGTGGTGGTCGCCACCGCCGCCTTGGAGCTCTCTGTCGGTCGGCGCAGCGCGCCCATGGTCTCGAGGTCTCGGGTATCGACTGGGCTTGCTCTCAATAGGTCATCCGTCCGTTAGCATCCGTTTCCTGTGACGCGCGCCGTGGATTTCGGTGGCGCGGTCCAGCTGTGTTTGTCGGCCCTTTGAATCAGGGCACGTACACGGCGGTCGTGCTTCCCCTCGTCGTGATTCCCGAGCTCCATAGACGTCACCCTCGTGGATCGCCATCCTGGTCCGCAAACCTGCGCTCATAGAAGAAATCTGCATGCATGCAATGAAGGAAGCCAGCCACAGTATCCGCCAAGATAGGATAACTTGGCAGTCTTGACTTGGCCTGCGTAGCACGCAAGCTCACACCACCGAGGGCTTGCAAAGTATCCAAAGCGACTTTCCGCTGTACGACGCACTGTATCAGCACAGTTACGCAAGCAATAGATGCAGACCCCCAGTCGAAAGCCAAATGTGCGAGGCAGCTCCAACACGCTCGGTCTCCAGATGCAGCGGTTGTCCTTCGCCTTGTCTGCGAGCTGCTTTTGACTAAAGTTGAAGTGGAGGCGCGCGGCTATGCAGAAGATCGCAAGCACAAAGCTCACGCGCCAGCGGAAATAAAACGCCCCCTAAGGAAGATTTTCGCTTCTCGTATTGGCCAATCCGCGGCACCGAAAGCGGCTAGTACGAACTTATTGGCCAATGAGAAAGCTGGAATGTGTCGGTGATCTTGTAGGGCCCGACGACGTTGAAGTTGCCTGGCGCACCCGCTTTTTCGAGTCGAAAGGCGATGGCCTTACAGGCCACACAGTACCTGCGCCACCCCGCTGGAATGCCCACGCTAGAGCTTCGTCCATTCATACAACACGTTCGTCCCCACCTACGCTTACCGCTACCAGCGCCACTCCGCACCAATGTTGCGAGCTTCAGCGTCAGAACTGACGGACTGACGGACGGACGATCCGCCAGCTACGACCACATGAAACAAGCTTCAAAAGACGCACCAGAGAGCTCTACATGAACACACCTGCATTCTCCACAGTAGGTAGGTTGTCCAGCGGTGCCCCGCCTCCAAACAGAACGCAGCAAACACGAATGTCCGGGTCCGAGGTCCAGTGTCCGCCCCAAAAATCACACTGGGATGAGTCGCGGCCGAGAAAATTCCGTCGACCACGGCGGCTGTTTGCTTGGGTCTGGCGGCCCATCGAAAGTCTCCCATTGCCGGCATTCTGAGATTCGCCGCGCGTTGATCAAGTTACCGCATCCGTAGCCATGACGTCGCTCTCGTTGTCGCTGTCGCTGGACGCGCGCCGCCACTCGCTGTCCGGGAGCTGCAAGCTCAGCTACCTGGCGTCGCTGGCCGAGGACGTGGAGGAGCCCGCGGCGCTGCCCATGCCCGACGAGCCCGTGGACGACCATCACCCGCTCGTGCTGGCCGCGTGCCACGACGACGAGCCGCTGCTGGCGCTCGAGCACCGCTCCAAGTCCGAGAGCTTCATCTGCACGGCGCAGGGCATCGTGTTCGAGGACACCAAGTGCCAGAGGTACCAGTCCAAGATCGACAGCCTTGTGGCGCTGGCCGCCAGCTCCTCCAGCTCGCAGAGCAACGTGCTGCTGGCCAAGAAGGCGCTGCGCTACCGCAAGGTCATGGAGCGCCGCCGCATCATCGAGTGACTGGGAGAAATCCGTGAAAAGGCTCGCGTTGCCAGGAGGCCGTCGGCGCAAAATTAGACGCTGCGTCGCCTTGACGGCCCTGGAAAAGTCAGGAGGGTCACCCCGTTTCGCGACGCTGTAGGCTCCGCTCCCGCCCTGGTGGCTGCAGATGAAGCAGCCACTGCTGCTGGGAGCGATATTTGTACTCAAGGAAGCCCGCACTGTGAAAGGGTGTAGCGGTGGGGCGCACCCGAGTCGCGGGATGTGTGTTGGCCCCCGAAAGTAGTGGAATAGCCTGTAGCTATATATTTAAATCCCCGCCAAGAAATCGCAGCGATATTGCATTTGTGCATCGACAATCGGCCGTAGAGACGGCAAAGCACTTGGAGAACAACGTCGGGAGCGTTGCCATCTCGGCTTGAATCCCGTAGGAATCAAGCAAACCAACGGAACGCGGTGCAGCAGCTCCAGGACACATCATCGTGGTCCATGGGCCCACACCCGATGAGTGGAAATCAAATTGCTCGCTGGCACTGCTAGCTACTTGAATGCGGCTTGCAATTGAACTTCCGTCACGCAGCGAGGCTCGTCATTATGAAGCACAGCATAGTAGAAACGTTCACTGCCATCGCGGATGAGTGGAGTGGAATTGTGTAGGTCGCAAGCAATTGTTTCCGTCATAAGACTCGTCAGGGGCGAGAGGCTCGTCATTTTGAGGGCACGTCATGCACACAACCAAGAGTTCTTCCGACACCGGTGGCCGTGACTCCAGAAATGTCCATTGCCATCTTGGATGAGTGGGAGCTCATCGTTGCGCTGCAGTTACCGTCTCGTTCTGCAGCCCTACTGGACACTAAGTTCGAGCAAACTTAGGCTGTTCGCTAGCAGTGATGGCATTCGAGATGCCGAGTTGGGGCCAGCGGACAACGAGATGGCATGAGACTGACGTGCCACCTGGACAAAACACTTTCCAGTTGCGGGCGCCGAGACTACTCAATTCGGATGCGTAAGCAATTCCGGCAAAATATGTTCAAGTAGTAGATAAAGCAGAGGGCAGCCCTCGCCCCATTGCAAGCAAAAACTCTCGCGCAGGTTCACAGCCCCTTGAAGTTTTAGCTTGAGTTCGACCAAGCAGTATTCCACAAAACCCCGAAGAGCTGAGGCCTTATTCACTCACGGTACCTGCTGCTTCCTCGAGCGGACCGTCCACTTTTAGGTAGGGATCGGCCAACGATGAAGACGACGCCGCGTTTCCAGCCCAGAGCTTGGCCGTTGATCAGAGACCGTTATTCAGACATGCAACGATGCGCAACCAAAGGCATTTGTACGTGCACGCTCTCATGGGCAGCGCCTTGTTGTAAAGCCAACCTGGAGACTCATCAATGGTTTAATGCGACCGGTGTGGTTAAAAAAATCTTCCAAGAAACGCTTAGAGCGGTCCTATCCGGACTTGCTCAACCACGCCGACAATGATGCGTGTAGCGATCCGCAACGCTGCTGGTGTGGCATGAATAGCGCTGTCTGCCGACGAACCATTATCCCATTGCAGCTTTTGCATTGGCCTCGACACTCCACAAGTATGACCCACAGCGATTCGTCACGCTCCGCCGCAGAGGCATGCGCGCGCGTTTCAAGGCGGCGCTCGCTCTCTGAAGGTTGCAACATCCACCTCTTGACCACAATTACCGAGGAAGAGCAGGAGCGCTCAGCCTCGCAGCCCCAAAACGAACCGGAGGAGCACCAATTCCAGCTCACGCGCCACCATAACAACACTCAGGAAACGCGTTCCAAGTCCGAGAGCTTCATCTGCACGGCACAGGGGATCGTCTTCCAGGACACGAAAAGCCAGCAGTACCAGACCAGGCTGAGGAATCTCATGGCCCTTGCAGCCAACCCCAACAGCTCCAAGAGCAACGCGCTGCTCGCCCAGAAGGCTCTGCGATACCGCAACAAGATGATGGAGCGCCGACGCGCCTGCAGCTAAAGACACCTCTCCTCCATCTTCCAACAATCTTGACGCTGCAGCGATATCCTATTAGAACAGTTTAGAGTGAACCATACCCTCTAGCCGCAGCCGCGCTGCTTCTCCCTCTTCATCGTCCTCTTCTTGGCCTTGTCCTTGCGGGCCTTGTCCTTGGCCAGCAGCTCCTTCTCGTACTTGACCTTCTTCTCGTGCTCCTTCTTCATCTTCTCGCGCATGGCGTTCTGCGCCTGCTGCACGCGCTGGCGGTTCGAGTTGGCGGGGCCGGCGTCCTCGGCCGAGGAGCTCTTCTCCTTGTCCTTGATCTTCACCACGTTGCCCTCCTCGTCGAACTCGGACATGACCGTGAAGCCGTACTCGCTGATGAGCTGCTCGCGGGCCGCGATCTGCTCGCGCGTCATGTTCTTGAGGCGCTCGGCCGCCCTCTGCTTCTCTCTAGCGGCCGCGTCCTCGGCCTCCTGGCGCTGCTTCTCGCGCAGCTGCAGGTCCTTGAGCTTCTTCTCCGCCAGCTCCAGCTCCTGCTGCTGCTGCGTCTGCTGCTGCGCGGCCTGCAGCAGCGTGGACACGTCCTGCGTCATGGCCGCCTCGTCCAGAGTGCGGTCCAGCACGTCTTGGGCCACGAGGCCGTCGGCGGCGCCCGAGAACACGGCGATGACGCTGGCCACGCGCTCCGACACGTCCATGTCCTCATCCTGCAGCAGACCCAGCGCGTACTCGACGTACACGGACGCGTCCAGCCCCAGCAGCGACACCTTGTCGCGCACCCAGGCCTCCATCTTGACGCTACAATAAGCTGGCTGGCTGGAATGAGACTCGACTAAGTACGAACGGTGAGAGAGATGGCTACACTGGTTACTTTTTGCCATAAGATATGGCTACATTGGATTGAAGTGGAAGACGGTCGGAGCTCCGGCACAATAATACAGTATGTTACATGTAATACATGTAAGCATACCAAGGTACACTACATCTAAAGCTTTGGCTCCGCAGATGCCGTGCCCTTCGTTGTGGTGGGCATGCCGTGTACATGTTCACGATATGGCTAACACCAGTATGAATCCGTGCAAAACAGTAAAAAAAAATCTACTTCTACTATGCGGTGTGAACTGCGGCAACCGGAGCACATTCGGAGGTGCCGGGAACCGCCCTTCCCGGCAGGAAGGGCGGTTTGAGCGTGTGCATGAGCTCATCTCATCAGGTGATGCGATGGGGGCGTTGACAGTGGTTGGGATTGGCACAATCCCACCGTAGCGAAGTTCCTCTGCAAGTTGACACCTGACAAGCAAAAGGCTGCCGAGCGTCTGTTTCAGCGCCACAAGCTTGGCAAGAACATTCCCAATATTTTCACGAACACAAACTTTTTGAAGTGGGAGAAAACCGTGACCAAGTCTTTCAAGAAAAACCGCGAAGCGGCAGAGATGGCGATGTATTCAACAATGAAAGTTGAGTATGGAGACGATGTCCTGGCAACAGTGCTAGCTAGAGCGAGGGAAGTATCTAGCACGGAAGTACGAGCTGTACGATTGCAGAGCGTCCAGTTCGCGGATTGGGGAAAACGGCTGACGACGCGTTAAGCTCTTACAACTGCGTCGCGGAGGAGAACGAGACATGATGTTCACCAGACCGGAATTCCGCAGCTGGGTCTCTTACTTAAACAAGGGGCAAGCGAAGAATCAAGACGAGCTCTTGCCGGTGATGATGTGTTCGCTGAAAGCTCACTACACCGATGAAGTTCTTAGCGACGGCGGGGATAATCACGAAGCACTGACACATGATTTTGACCACGCGTTTGCAGTATGATAGCGCGGGCTGTTTAGAGATAAGGAAAATAAAAAATCCGAGGCAGAACTTCGTAGCGCAGAATCTTTAACGCACGCAGCATTTAAAGCTGACACCTCGGCTAAAGAAACCTTAGCTGTCAGCATTGCTATTCGGCGAACACATTGACGGCGCCTACGCACACGCGTCGTGGCTGGGCCAACGTGGATTAAAAGTGAAGCAAAGTGAAGTTCATGTCATTTTCTTTTTCTATCTTCGCTCTGTGACTTCGATAAAGCATTATTTGTTGTTGTAACCTGCGATCATGACCCTGAAAAGTTCTCGTGTTCACTATTTGAAGTGTATTCATCTGATTTACGTGCGTAGGGGTGGTCCCTGATGCCTTAGCCTGGTTATTGATGCTTCTAGCGGGGCTGAAGCTGGTACTGGAATGGTTAGCAACGAGATCAGGCTCAGAACTGGAAGCAGGACATCAATTGAAGCTTTCCTGGTACGATTACGGCACGTTGGCGTTGCTTTCGGACACGTTTGAATTCCAAAGTTTGGAAGGCCCTGACCTCTTCCCTTGATTTAGAGCGGCTGACGAGACTACTCGTCGCTCACACTGCTTCTTGGATGAAAGAAGAGACGGATAAGCGCGTGGCTGCAAAGCTGTTGGCAATCAGTATCGACAAGAAGGCATTATTCTCGATTACCGCCCCTATCTAATGGGAATAAAAAATAGTCGCCTCGTTTTTCGAGAGCCAAACTACATGTAGACATTTCATCACTACGAAATAGGTTAAAGCACAATTTCATTCGTAGACTTATACGGATCGTCTTTTGGTGACTAGACTGTATACTCTTCGGTATTGGACAAAGTAGGCACAAGGTGATACAGTATGATAAGGGTTTTCGCTGCGATTTCTCGGCGTTTAAATACATAGCTACAGGCTATTTTCCATCACTAGACTACATACATCGATGATACATAACAGCAGCTGCTTCACTTGCAGCCGCAGGGCTGCAGGGGTCTCAAGCGCCGCGAGTTCTCCGTCTTTCTTAGCCTCTTGGCCGTCTGCCCACGCAGCGTCTAAAGGCACAGACAGCCTTCTGGTCGCGGACGCGAAGCTCTTTTGGTAGTGAAGTTCAGACCACGTTGCGGCGGCGCTCGAGCACTTTGCGATACCTGAGCGCCTTCTTGGCCAGCAGCACGTTGCTCTGCGAGCTGGAGGAGCTGGCGGCCAGCGCCACGAGGCTGTCGATCTTGGACTGGTACCTCTGGCACTTGGTGTCCTGGAACACGACGCCCTGCGCCGTGCAGATGAAGCTCTCGGACTTGGAGCGCTGCTCCAGCGCGGCGAAGCTCTCCCCGCCGTGGTGCAGCAGCGGGTGGAGGTCGTCCGTGGGCTGCTCGGGCGAGAGCAGAGCAAAGTCCTCGGGCTCGTCCTCGGCCTCCTCGACGATGAAGTTGAGGCGGGAGCCCTCGGACAGCGAGCGGCGGCGGAAGTCGAGCGGAGACGACGTCATTGTTAAGTGGTGGTGGCTTGGGACTGTGGAGCTCTTGGCAATGTCGGGGCAAATCTCTGAGTGAGACTTTGGTGACTCGGAGTCCTGCGTGGCGCGCGGCTATGCGGCGGCTTGGAGAAGGCGCATCGAATCGAAGCGGAATTTTCCGGCTTCCGAGCGTGAAAATTGGCTTCGGTTTTTTCGGGGGCGCGAAAGTCGGGGCCTGCGGACGTGGGGCGCGGAGACGACGTGTGGGGCGCGCTCTGTTTGCCGCGCGGCTGGCTGGTGAGGGTTGCGCCATGTGAGCAGGTAGATCGGCTCATTTGGCGAAAAGCAGAGCAGCGCGAGGAGACGCCGCCCACCAGTGCGGGTGGTTTGATTTTTGGCTCGCCTGGCTATGACTGGGCAAAGTTGTTCTAGATCCACGCAGGCATGGACGGCTGTAGGCTACAGCCTGTAGCGCGCTGGCAGCGGCCAGGGCCAGGTAGATTCGGTGCTTTCCCCTCTGTCGTTGATGAGCTCCTCCGACCTGATGTTCAAGATCAACGCTTTCGATTCCACGTCGACAATCCACACCCACTTCATATTGAGGACTCTGCCAGTCGGGATTGCAGCCAGCACAGCCAGCCCCGGTCTCAGCTTGGACGAGAAGGCGAAGCCACTAGAAAGCCGAGTACGGGTTCGCAGTGCAGCGCCGATCGAGTAAGCGGGGCTCACCGAGATGTGAACTCAATCTCGTTCACTTCGGAGACCCTACACACTTTCGCAGTAGAGCGCGCTCCTGATTGGCTCCCGAGAGTGATTTTTGTGCAGCATAGACGCGGCGACCAGGCACTTCAACCAGGCAGCGCGCAACGCAATGCAGCACTGTACGAGCAAGGCAGGACATGCCAGCGTCATGCTCCAAACATACAATGCCTGTATGTTTGGAGCAGTTCGGTGCTACCAAGTCGTAGCGCTCGTTATCGAGGCGTTTACGGACCACCTCGAAGCTGGCATTAAGCAGCGCATTCTGTACGCAACCGCACGTGTGGCTAGCTACGCTTTTCTCACGAACCCCTTTCAGGACCCTTCTGCCACGTGGCGGCAGTCGAGGCAGCACTGCGCGGTCTCAGTGCGACTTCCCACAGCGAACGCGACGCGAAGGATGACCGCCGATTTCAAGCGCTAGGCTGGAAGGCCCAAGGCAACCAACCTCTGGACGAATTCGGCGACGAAACAGCCAAGTCTGTCGCGTTGGTGTGTATTGCTCTATGATAACGTTAGTTAACCCCGTGGAAGCTGGTAATAGCAAAAAAAAGTATCCAAGCCCTGAGTCGCCAAAAAACCCACTACACAGCAGCTTTGAGTCTGCGCAGCAGTTCGCGCACCATGCCGCGCATGGGTTTGAGTCGTTGCTCGCTCTTCGGAGCCGGTGGCGTTCGAAGCGGAGCGTACAGCGCTCGAACGCGCGCTCGCACCGGATACGCCGGCTTCTGCTGCGGATTCGGGATTTGGTGCGGGCCGCGGCCTCCCGTCTCAAGCCGCCGACGCAGCCGCTTGGAGATGTCCCGTCGGATGAGACCGAGGCTGCGCTGGGCCGCGTGCTTCAAGGCGAAGTCCGCAAAGGACTGCGCAATGGCCGGAGGAGGTTGGTAGCCATTCGCCCGCATCACTTGGATCGTGGCTCCGAATTCGCCTCGGTAGTTCTCAAACACGGTGCGGACGGCGTCCGCGTGCGCGTGGAACTGCATCAACCGCGTCTGGATCTTCTCCTCCGTGTCATCGCTGCGCTGCACCACGCGGGCGGCCACATCGGCCGGCGGCGGGCTGAACTCGACGTGGTAAGTTTTCCCCGTCACGGGGTCCACTCGTCGACCGGCGATGCGTCGGATCACCTCCTTGTCGGGGACTTCCAGCTCCAGGACACAGTCAGGGGCTGCCATCCCACCTTGAGCAGTCAGCAGCGCTTCCGCTTGTCTGGCAGTGCGAGGGAAGCCGTCCAGCAGCCAGCCCCTAGTCGCGCAGTCCGACTCAGCGAGACGTGCGAGGACAACGTCGACGATGATGTCGTCGGGCACGAGCTCGCCGTGGTCCATGAACTGCTGAGCCTTGAGACCTAGCGGCGTCTGGTCGTGAATGGCTTGGCGGAGGATGTTACCCGTCGACAGGTGCACGACTCCGAGCAATTGGACAAGAAGTTCGCATTGAGTTCCCTTGCCTCCAGCCGGCGGACCCAGAATTACGAGTCGCGGAGGCGAGATCTTGCTTGATGGGAGGTTGGTTGACTCGAGTTGGGGCAGTGAGGGGAACGTTGCGGCGCTGAATTGGCGCGTGGGCGTGACAGGAGTGAAGTGAGTTCGACGCATGGCGCTGCTGGGGCTTTGGGCTTGGAGGTGAATTGGTGATTGAGGAATAAGCAGCACGCACGGGAATCGACTCGCTAGCAACGACGACCAGCTAGCTGAATAACCGCCCAAGCGGGACTGGGGGAAGATAAGAATACTGGCTTCGCGAGCTGATGTCGAGGCGGTTTGGCATGAGTGCGGCTGGATGTGTGGCTTGCGACGTCGCGCTCCGTTATTAAATACTTGCGCAGTGTAAGGATCCGAAGCAGACCGAAGACGGGCCATGGGTTTGATGTGGTGCGTCGGCATGGCACTGACCTACCCTTCTGAAGCATGACGAAATCGATTTGATTCTGGTGAAAAATATTAAATCCGGTGCATCTTCTCGATATCAGGCTCTAGAAGCTAGAGGAATTCAAGAAAAATGAGACTTCGAACCCAGCCCAAGGCGCAGCCGTATTCACTCAAGCTATTCCAACTGCAGTACTACAGTTTATCACTACCTCGCAAGTCTGGCTTGTTTTTTCCAGCTTTCATAGTCAAACTCGACCTCCCCTCGAATCATGATCAGCGCGTTGTCATCTTGGCAAGTTAGGGCGACGTACACATAGCGTCCGGACCAGACGAAGATCGTGACCAAGCGACTCAAGAAGAACGGAGCAACGTGAAATTGGGCTCGATGGTTGAACATTGAGATATCCAGGAACACGCGGTCCTGGAGGTCCCAGATGCCGAGCTGCATCACGTCTACAAGTACCAGCACCTCCACCGCCCAGAACACTACGATCCCAGTCACCGGCATCCAGAACTTAAAACACAATCGGCGCTTCATGATCGGAGTCAACGCGTCGACGGTCAAGATTGTGTACGCTAGCAGCAAACTCGAGACCACGCCGCACGCAGGAGCCCACCTCCAATAGAACATGTCCATGACGCACACCCCTGCTGATAGGATCTGGGCTGCGAAGAACAGGAAGTGGAAGGAGCTCATGACTCGTTTTAGTAGTTGCCGCTCGCAGCAGCACAAGTAAATCCCACTGAATATGGAGCTCACTATCAGCCCAGACACACCTATTACCCCGGCATTCTTGGTATTTTTCGGAAGAAAGAGTGCGAGTGCGGCAAACGCGCTGCCCATAACTCCGCACGAATACAAGAAAACAATTTTCCAGGTAGCAACAGGCTTAAACACGCCGTCATTAGGCCACACCGTGTTCTGAGCGTCGAATCGTGTGACTTCCGGGGCGAGGTACATCTGCAACGGTGGGTATTTCCGCCTTTTCGAGGCCAAAACGTTGGTGTTTACACGACTTGAGTACGCTCTTTCAGGTTTGGCCCGAATTTCGACGTGTGGCATGATGTCGCTGTTGGCGGAAGACGCTGCGCGGTCAACTGCACTCAACGCGATCTTGCACCTGTAGCCTAGAGCCTGCATTGCTGTGTCTCGCTTCTTCTTCTGGCGTCTGGCGTGCTGGTACCGTCGGAAGAGATATCGCAACGCCACCATGGACATAGTACCCATTGCGTTCACCAGTATATCCTTCGTCGAGAGTGTGCGGCCACGAGCAGTAACTAAGGTGTAGTGGTGAACGTCGTCCACAAGCCCCACAGCCAGCCAAACCATCAGCAACGCGTTGAAAAGCCACTCGAACAGTGCAAACGTTATCATGAAGACGGTATTTCGGAGATTGGTTTCTTGGAAGAGGTTGTTGGTGAAGTTCGCCCAGCACGCAACAACGAGAACCACGCGGACGTCTCTTAGCACAATACTGAGTGTAATGGCCCACAGCGTGTTGGTGGCTTGTAAGAAGCAGAAGTCGAATGTGGGTAAAATAATTTTGAGATATTCGGCGCGCATGCCCGCAACAAACACCACCATGCCAGGAATGTGCAGGCCTGCGCAGATCAGAGCGAGGGTCCGTCCTAATGAGACCTCGGCCGCGAATACAGCATAGCGCAGGCCAATTGCTGCGATGACAGACTGGAAGACGAGTAACTGGAGCTTGAGCACGATGAAGTTGAATTTTTTCACGGAATTGGGGCTCAGAAGCACCGTCTTCAGCATGAGGGGGTCAAAGGCGGGCAATTGGTCCTCACAGGCTACAATCTGATACAGTACGGCATTAGGAGAAGCGGAGCTGCTCGCACTGCTGCGCCCCGACGGATGGATCATGCCGCGTAAGGAAACTAAACGACTTAATCAACACCAGCGGATGAACGTTAACAGGTTTTATGAAAGTCAAGCGTTGCGGATTTAGCCACAGAACACGATAAAGATGGCACAAGCTGAGTACCGACTTCGACCACCAAGAACAAAATAGACCAGCTAAATAGCCCGAGTTCCGAGTAGTATCTACCCTACACTACTCAATATTATTCATCTGTTGAAAGTATTTTATCCGCAATGTCAAAAATCACCTCTAGCGTTCATCAAGATTGACTCTCTTCTTCCAGCCTTCATAGTCGAATTCCACTTCACCCCGTAGCAAAATGAGAGCATTGTCGTCTTGGCGAGTTAGCACCACGTACACGTAGCGCCCAGACCAGACGACACCAGTGAACACGCGGCTAACAAAAATCGGGACGACGAGAAACCTGGTGTTCCGACCACGAATTTCAACATCCAAGATCACTTTATCCTCCAAGCCCAAACGTCCGAGCGTGAAGACGTCAAAAAGCATAGCCACTTGGACCAGCAAAAAGAGCGCAATACCGAGGACTGGCATCCAGTATTGGAAGTGGAGTCTGCGTTTCATGATCGGGGTCAGGGCGTCGATCGTCAGTACCGTCTGGGCCAGCAAGAGGCTAGAGCCCACACCACAGACTGGAACCCAGCGCCACCGAAACATCTCCAGCAGCAACAGACCGAGTGCGAGGATATGAGTCCAAAGGAACAGGAAGTGGAAAGAAGTGATGATGCGCTTGAGCAACTGACGCTGGCAGCAGCAACCGTAGATTCCGGTGAAGATGGCAGTCGAGACCAAGCCCGTTAAAGCGACAAATTCGTGCCCAAGTGCATATTTCGGGAAGAGGAGCGCGAGTACTGCGCATGTGCTACCAATAACACAACACAAGTACAGCACGACTATTTTCCATGACGAGAGCGGTGTTAACGCTCCCACGCGAGGCCACACAGTGTGACTTGGATCAAACCGGACAGCTTCTGCAGAAAGGTACAACTGCAGCAATGGACGTGCAGTTTGCCGGCATGTTGGCTTCGATAATGTACCAGGATTTACGTCTCGGCAGCCGTCTCGGGGCACAATGCTACTCCGAATTGAACCTGTCAGCGGGGCAGCCGGACTCAATGCGACTTTGCTTCGGTAACCCAAAGCTTGCGTAGCTGTATTCGGCTTCGCTTCCTTGTGCTTGACGTCTTGATACCTTCTGTACAAGTTACGGAGCGAGATCAATGTCATGGTGCCTATGGTATTCGCCAGTACATCTTTCGTCGACAGCGTCCGTCCGCACGAAGCGATTAGTATATAATGGTGCGCTTCATCCACCAACTCGAACGCAATCGCAGCCATCAGCAGCACGTAAAATAACCACTCGGCCAAGGCCACGACCACGATAGCGTGAGAATTGCGGAGATAGGTTTCTTGCAGGAGCCAGCAGGTGAAGTCAGCCCAGCAGAAGACGATCAGCACTACGCGGAGGTCGTTCAGCACGAAGCTCAGAACGATTGTGCATATCGTATTCGCAGCTTGTAAGAACCAAAAGTCGAAAGTACGTAATAGCAGCTTACTGTACTCGGTGCGTAGTTGCGCTGAAGTCGTGACCATTCCAAACATGTGCAAGAACACTGAGATCGGAGCTAGAACTCTCCCGATATGTGCTGGCGCCGCGAATGTGGCAAAGCGGATCACAAGTGCGGTGTATACAAATGGCTTGAGTAGAGGAAGGATGGCAGAAACGATCCGGTTGTAGCGCTTGACGGCATTTTGGCGTAGTACGATGGTCTTTACCATGGGGAGGGGGTCAAATTCAGGCAGGTAGTAGTTCCATGGGACGATCTGGTAGCTGAAGCTGTCGGACGAGGAAAATTCGTCGTTAGTGAAGGGGTGGATGAGGCCGGACATGCTACCGTAGGTTGAACACGGCGCGCGAGCATTTGTGGAAGTGCAATATCAATACTCGTGCAGCCGATGCAAATGATGCACAAGTGCGACAAAGCAGAACGTGTTGTGCTGTATTTGGAATCGCTGGATTAAAGGGATGAGATACTAGGTACGTGTACTAACCAATACTGTGTTGTGGCTTGAATTGCATCACAACCAATAAATTAGGTACCCAATGACTACTGGAGCTGTGGTTACCCCCCTCCCCCTGAACGCACACTCCTTCCTACACGTGTACGTACCAAGGCGTCAACCGTGTAAAAAATTGTTGTAGTCGGCAACAACACTTACGGTCCTTTCGTCAGTACCAGTCGTAAACATCAACCTTTTTGCCACGGCCTCGAAATCTTCTCCTCTTGCACGCCAACTTTTGAACAGCAGCCTCTGTAATTCGCTGAGAATGTTTCTGTCAACGTCGTGCGCTGCAGTGTGCTTCGCGACAAGAAGCATTTTTGCCAGGTCCACCTCATCAAACCGCTTCTTCAGTATCGCCAAAGTGATGCCAAGCGCGACCTTGGGTGAACGCGTTTTTCTCATCTCTGTGGCGTATTGGGCCCAGGTGTGGAATGCAGGCGTCTGGAAAATGCTAGTCTCCGCCTCATCCAGTTTGAGGAGGTTGAACGCTTCGATCCCGGTTTTCTTTTCGCCAATCCATTGCGAGACGAGTACTATGTCCGGTTTTGCCTCAATCGCACTCGTGCTAGATACTTTCTTCGTGGCATCTATCACTGTTTCGTCTCCTTGATGAGCTATCAGCGAGTGCACCATCGTCACATGCGAGATCTTGTCTGGATTGTCCGCCTTCGCAATGCTCAAATACAAGATCCAGCTGCGGAATTCCGGACTGACGAAAAGCCTGCGATTAAGCCCAAGGAGTCCGATCGCGTCGTCTGGCGTTTTGCCGCTGCTAGCCCAGCTCGAGAACTGGACGACCTACAATCGCACAGCGATCGACCCGGTGCCAGGCACTTAGATAGCGGTTCGTCTACAAGTTGAGCTTTCATCGTCGACTGCATCACCAAGTTTGCCGCTTCGGGGTTCTTCTTGAAAGACTTGATCACGGTTTTCTCCCACTCCAGAAACTTGGCATTCGCGTCTGAATAACGTACCAATCTCTCGTATTCCAGCTTTGCGTTATCCGCAGTGAAAGGAATTCTGTTTAATCCCTAGTTATAAGCCCCCTGGTCAAGTTTGACTCGCTTTAATTAACATCTCGGCTCATTTGCCCGGGTCACAAAAAAATCATAAAAAATGACGGCACTATCACTAGGAAGAGGGCTGTCTGTATAAGCTGCGAATTAATTGTTTAGTGCAGACTCTTAGTTTTACAGGGATACTGTATTATCTGTCGTTACCGTAGCGGCGGGATATCAAGCGAGCTGGCACCGGATGGGCTGTTAAAATGATCCTAACTTTACCCAGCAAATAACTACAGTAGGGGTTAAATAGACTTTCTTTCCCGGATAACACAAATCTTGACATGTGAATACGAGCGATATGTACGATATTCACAAGACACGCCCGCACTGAACAACCAGGCAATTGAACTCCAGTCTAAACCTCCTTTTTCAGCATAAGCTTGTACTGAAAGAAAAAAAAACGAAATGTCGGACCACATGCAGTTCGAGAATTTTTTTAAGGAAGAGCCGGCTCCAAAAGATAGTTAAAATGAGAATCTGGCGAGGAAACGAGGATAGCAGGAGCTGGTGTCCTGGCTTGAATATGATACAAGCGGGCGTCATCCTCTTTGACGCTCAACAGGTCCATAACTCGTCAGTCTCTTCCAATTTTCATAATCAAACTCAACATTCCCTCGGAGCAGCACAAGCGCGTTGTCGTTGTGGTGGGTCAGCGCCACAAACACGTAGCGTACGGCCCACACTAGAACTGTAACCACGCGACTGAGAAGAAACGGCGCCACGTGAAACTGGGAATGTGTTCCAAGAACTACAAAATCCAAGGAAACTCGGTCTTTCAGATCCAATTGACCCAGCACCAAGACGTCAAGCAGAAGCTCCATCTGTACGAGCCAGAAGAGCACAATTCCGCCAACCACCATCCAGTAGTTGAACCGAAGCCGCTGCTTCATGACCGGAGTGAGCGCGTCGATAGTCAGGACAGTAAACGCCAAAACGCCGCTGCACATGACGCCGCACGCGCAGTGCCACCGCCAGCTGAGCATATCCACGACGCACACGCCAATTGCTACAATCTGAAACAGCAGGAAGAGGAAATGGAATGACGTCACGATACTTTTCAGCAATTGGCGTTGGCAGCAGCACAGATGAACCCCACTAAAGAAAATACTCGTTAAAAGTGCCGATACAGCGGTTTCTGCAGCTCCGGAGGCATCTTCCGATAGAAAAACTGAGAGTGCGACAAGACCACCACCCATAGCCCCACATGAATACAGCGCAAGACTTTTCCAGATCGAGATGGGCTCCAGTGCTCCAATACGCGGCCACACTGTTGTATGCGGATCAATTTTTGCGTGCTCCGCTACGAGATACATTTGCAATAGTGCGCGCTTCTCGCCTTGGCTTGCGCGTGGGTTTGTCTTGTTGATAGTTAAATTGAAGAAACGGGTGCCGTTTGCTTCACTGCTGCCTTGAAACACTTTGACACTTCCAGTAGATTCAACGTGATACCCCATGATGCTCAGAGCAATGTTGTAACGATACCCTAGCGCCTCCATGCGCTTCTCCGGGGTGGTCCTTTGTCGCTGGACGTGGCGCTGTCTTCGGTACATATTCCTTAGTGTCATAGTCGCCATTGTTCCGAGAGCGTTGGCTAGAACGTCTTTAGTCGAAAGAGTATGGCCCCGCGCAATGATCAGAGCGTGGTGGTGGACGTCTTCAACTAATCCCAGAGACAACCACGCCATCAGCATTAAACAGAATATCAGCTCCCACACGGAGACTAGAACCATGAAGGAAGTGGTGCGGAGATTGGTTTCTTGGAAGAGGGAGATGGTGTAAACTACCCAGCAAGTCGCCACAAGAATTACTCGCAGGTCAATTAAAACTGCAGATAAAGTAATAGCCCAAATGGTGTTGGCAAGCTGGATGCCAGAAGTCGAACGTGCAGGCGACGATCTTGATGTACTCGGTGCGCATGCCAGCCACGAACACCGTCATGCCGGGGATGTGAAAGAGTGCAGACATTGGAGCGATGATTCGCCCCATTGACGCAGGGACGGCAAAGGCTGCGAGTCGCAAGGCGATCGCAGCTACGACCGTCTGCTGAACGAGGTGGCTGTATTTCCACACGAGATAATTGTACTTCTTCACGGAACTTGGACTCAGAAGAACGGACTTGACTGTGATTAATGGGTCGAACGCTGGCAGGTGCCGCCCCAGAGCAACGACCTGGTAGTTTCCACAGCTAGTCAGAGAAGGCGCGCGTTGGCTTGAAGGCTCCAGAGGATGAATCATCCTAGTCGAAAATGCCGGCGTGCGCTATCAATATCTAACTACGAGTGACCCATAATGACGTAAGGTTGGGTCTCGTTATGCCTGCCTTTAAAAACCCCACGTTGCTGAAAGCCCCAATTTGGCTCTCAAAGTCGCCCGAGCTACACTACGAGACTCGATCGTTTCGGCGAAGGAATCTGGTGGCTGTAGCTGAGCCTCGTTGGAGCTTTAGAACTCACGTAGTTAGAAAGTTCTCGTCCGCGTGTCTGCGGGACAGTGATGGCCAAAAATGTACGGGAAGGCATTGGAGGTAAAGCGATCTGTAGCAATATGAATTGCAGTACCAAGGCAGCCAGCAATAATAACTGCAATACTGGTCGTTCTTGCAATAATTACTGCAATACTATAACCATACTACTCTGTCGCCGTAGAGGTACATATGCCGTCTGAACTGGATTTTGAGAACGGAAAATGTACAGCCCATGTTTTCGGATTGGAGGGGGTGAAATGGCCCGCAAATCTATCGTGATGCAGAGACCAAATCGGCATCAGTGGCGTTTGAGAAGCATGAACAACCCGCAAACGTAGCCCCGAAGCAAGGCTTAGGTCTACAGTTCCCTGTCTAGCGCTGGGCCGGCCTTCTAAAGGTTTTAAGGACAGGTAGAGCCACATTTAGCAGCTCGATTACCCAGTTCCCAGGGATTTGCAATAGATTTGGGTGCCATGACACCCGTCCTGAAAACCGAACATGGATGTCCATGATTTCAGCATGTTTTACATGTTTGGAGATCTTACTTGGTTTTAGTATGTCTTTATCCCTAACCCTATTCCGAAACATGGGCTGTAGGGCAAGCCTTTTGAGAACGCTATTATCTTGACATTGACCGCTTTGCCTGCTTCTAAGTGAAAAGTACTAGGGTTTGAAGAGTTTATTCGGTTGGCTTATAATAAGACTACAACAAGAATTGCAATTCCGCAGCGCTCTGCAATATGTATTGCAATAGCTTGCAAGCTTGCAGTATGGCATTGCAATAAGTATTGGTAAATGCCAATACCTGCAATACATTTTTGGCCATCACTGCTGCGGGATATTTACGATGCTTTCTGCGGCTGGCAAAGTATCGAAACCTTTCTTCCAAAAACACTCGACCCTAATGAGAATACCTACAGCTTCGAACAGTATCGGCACTGGCTTCGTGGGCTTTATTACGAACTCACGCAAGAATTTCATCGGGTCGAAATCGCAGTGGGCGGCTTTGGAATCACGAGGTCTGCGGGCGGATTCACTCCAAGCGTGGCTGTGAAAAAGTCTAACAAGACAACCTTGTTCCCATTTCTTCAACGCTCGACCCTAAAGCTACTCTTTCGCCCCAAATCTCAAGAACGTGACGAGCATCCTGTCTGTCGTGGCTAACAAGGTACACGTGTCTCTGATGTCCAATTTTGCAAGAATCAGCGGAAATTGCTCCTCCCTGTGCAGGATGACGTCAAATGAGGATTCCACATCGACTGTTGCCTGTAAGGTCTCGATTCTGGTTTCTAGCGCACCAGACACCAAATGTTCAGCAGTGCCCTTACTACGGCTGCACAGCAATTGAAACTGCGCAACACTACAACCTTTTCCTCGAGTGCCACCACTCAAACGAAATCTGGAAAGCCCTCTGGAAGGACTGCAGTGGCTTTTACGTAGGAGGCATCAGCTGGACTTCCATGGCACTCCCGCACAAGCAGGAAATTCGGTCAGCATGGTCCCATCGCAGAGAGGCAGTGCTTTACCTATGGAATATAGTGAGATGCGCAGCACTTCATCGCCAATGGACTGAGAGGAACAAACTTTGTTTGGAGGAAGGGTGATCGGACCGGAACCCCTTGAAACAGCGATATCAACCATTTACAGCAATTCAGCTCCAACTATCGACGCCTACTAAGACTGTCAAACTCCGAAGATCAAACCAAGTTCAATTCTCGTTTACAACGGCTTCGGTACTCCAAACAATTTGGCGACTTCATCAGCAGACATGACAACAGTTTCAAGCTTCGGCATGCACAACTACACTTGTTACGGGATGCTAAAACATCCCGCACTGGTGTGGTGTTCCGAACTTTTGTCGAATAAGTAGCATCCTAGTCATAAATCGAGAAGCCATGAATCGGTAATCGAACACTTCTTCTTCTCTAAAAAACTAAGATACGTTGCTCAATTGGTTGGGAACCCTAACCAGAGTCCGGTTTGACGGAGGATACCGTTGCCCAAGTTTTGGATGTCCCACATTGATGTTATGTTGCTCTAGGGCCGAGTGTTCTTGGAGTTGAACATTATCGGGCATCAATCTCAATTTCGGTTTTTCTTGAGTCGATCTCTGTGCGGTCTGCGCGGTGTGAACATGGCCCTGGCTCGACAAAATGGCGATGTACTTGTTCTGCCGTGTGGCGAATGAAGGTAGTTCAAACTTGAAACCTGCAACCATTGAGCATACTACATGGAGTGCATGTAGAGTGGTAGCTAACATAAACTTGTACTTCCATTTTTACCGGCATCTAGAGAGAATGAAAATAGTATGAGCGAAGCACTCGATACAAGTCCACCAATTCCGGACGTGTTTATTCTGTACCGGGTGGATTGTCTTGCGTCCACACTCGAGCATCAGCGGCCGTTGCAGGAGTTCGTATGAATAAATAGCATGTTGGTTGACTTTCAAACGCTACGTGCCCCGAGCATGATTCACCCTTTGGAAAGCAGATCTTCATACTGTGGGCGCGTGTACTACAAGGTTGTGGCGTGGGATAATGACCTGCCAGCTTTTGATCCCGTTCCCAAGATCAAGACTGTACTTCTGAGTGCGAGCTCTGTCCAAAAGTTCGACCAAATCGTGAGTAAATTCAGCCCGCTGCTCGGGCCATTTGTCTTTTTCGCTCTCGTTTGAAGGTTCGCAACATTTGCACTACCGGTGCACGAAGCGCGTGTTCTCGCACCAATTTCAGCTCTTCTTCACATTCCCGGGATCGTTGTAGCCCTGGCTGATATGCGAATTGAGTACGTCAAGATCATCGTGCGAACTTTCGACTTTTGCTTCTTGCAAGGATCCAACACTCTGTGGGCCGTCGTGTTGAGTCTTGAGATGAACGACCTGCGCGTCTTGGTTGTGCTGGTTTGTTGGCTAAACTTTATGTGTTGGCTGCTCCAAGAAACATATTTGCGAACTTCGTACCTCATCGTTGGGGTAGCTCTGTGCGAATGGGTATTTTACGTCATGTTGCTGCCAACGCTGTCACTCGAACTCGTTGATGACCTTCACCACTACACTTTACTCACTGCTAGAGGACGAGAACTATCCACACAGGACGTATTAGCGAATGTGATCGGTAATATGGCGATGTTCACGCTTCGCAATCTTTATCGACGGTACCAGAATGTCAAGTACCGCAAAAACCAGCCCGAAGCGGCCATGCAAGCGCTCGGATACAGGTGCAAGATCGCACTGATGTCCGGCCCGCTGGTTGACAGCATCGTACCGCACCTCACGAGCCATCAAGACAGACCTACAGGAAGTATGAGGTCCTCAGCAACACCGCCAGTTGTGAACTCAGGAAGGCATCTCCCCATGCAAATGCATCTCGCATCGGAACCGTACGCGTACGACAGTTGCGACACTGTTTGGCCTCGCATTGGGAGTCTGGCAGCAATTGCATCGTGGAAACTTGTCTTTTTGTACGGCTCTGGGATGGTTGGGGGGAGTTGTGCAGCGTTTTCGATGTTTGTTCCGGAAAATACGTTCGGGGCAGACGTAAGTGCCGTCTTAAGCGTTGTCGCCAGCATAGTATGCACTGGCGTCTTTGCGTGTAGTTGCCAGCGCCAACTGCTCAAGCGCGTCGTGACTTCCTTCCACTTCCTGTTCCTCACGACTCAAATGATTGCCACAGCCTTTTGCGTCATCGACATCTTCAGCCGTCGGTGGATTCCAACCTGCGGCGTCGTCTCGAGTCTGCTGTTGGCTTACTCCGTTCTGACTGTCGACGCCTTGATGCCTGTTATGAAGAGGCGACTTCGCTTCCAGTACTCGACAGTGGTAGGGGGTATTATCCTCTTCTGGCTGGTAGAATCTGCGCTGCTGCTGGACGTCCTGGTGCTGGGCAACTGGAATCTGCAGGATCGAGTGCTATTGGACTTTACACTACTCGGTCAACGAGCAAAGTTTTACGTGGCACCGTTCATGCTGAGTCGAATTATTACGATCGTCGTGTGGTCGGGCCGCTTTGTGTTCGTCACAGCTACGAGGCACAACGACAACGCACTGATTTTGCTTCGTGGCAATGTGGAATTCGACTTGGAAAGGTGGAAAAGAGAAGCCTATAGTGACCCTCTCAGGACCATTCAACGCCAAAGTGTACCGGGCAAAGACTTCGCTTGATCTTGCGTGTAATATCGTGCAGTGATCAGACTAGATTGCAAGTACGTTGGTTCAATGCAGCAACCAAGGGACTGCCCACTGCGTTATTGTGTTTGCTGACGAGACGCGACACTAGAACTCAACAGCCCAGAGCAATCTTGTATCGACGTCCTAGAGCCTGCGTCGGTGTCCGTATGGCTTGCGATCGAGATTTCGTGCTTGCAGCACCGTCAGTCAGGGTGTCGAAGACGTTGACCAGGTTGACAAGATCGTGTCGTGAGAAGGCTGCTACATGTAGCCCAGCATCTCCCTGGCGTCAGTCGCGCGACTAATGAGTTGAGTTGAGGTCGATACACCGAGACGCGAGACTGGTGAATCCGAGTGTTGCACCGCCCGAGCCAGCCTTTCCACCACGTCGTTCCGACCTTGCCTCCTGCCCTCGAACAGCGAATACAGCAACACGACTAGAGGTGGAATATAAGCTGCTAAGTATCATTGTACACATTCTTTGTCTTCTTCTTACTACTGTCAACACGGATCCTGTCCTCACACCTACAAAGCTACGCCATCTCCAGCCTCCTTCTCCTGCGCCTCGTGGATCTGGCACAGCAGGCCGCGTCGTACCGCTCTCGAGCAGTCCGGGTACTCGCAGCGCTTGCCGCCTCCGTGCGAGATGCAGAAGCCGTTGCCGCGGTCCTTCTTCTCGCACGCGCCGTACTGGCACTTGCGAATGCCGCCGTGCACGTAGCAGCGGCCTTTGCGCTGCTGGCCGCGCGTGCAGCCCGGGAACTCGCAGCGCTTCCCGCCGCCATGTGCGCGACAGAAGCCTCCACCTTGAGAGCTCCGATTGCAGCCACCGGGCCCGGAGTACTGACATCTAGCACCGCCACCGTGGGCCTTGCAGCGACTGTTGGACTGGGCGCGCCGCGTGCAGCCAGCCTCGATGCACTTCTTGCCCTTGGTAGTCCTGACTTTGGGTGCGACGTTGCCGCTGCGGTTCTCCTGGCTTACGGGCGAGGCCGACGTGGTTCGGGCCGCCTTGGCCCTGGGCTCGCCTAGTCCAGGCTCGGCCTTCATGGCCCTCGGCCGCTTCGGCCGCGACATCAAGGGCGGCGTGGCGAAGTCGGCCGACACGATGAGCTCCTTGAGCGCCTTGTTGGTCAGCGAGGCCGGCGGCGAGATGGTCAACGAGAACGGTGGCCGCTCCACCGACGTCTTGATGGCGTCGAGGCCCACGGGTTTGCGGTCCTCCTGCGTCTCCGGCTGCGCGTTCCTCAACGAGGAGAGCCACATGCCCGGACTCACTGGATGCTGCGGGCTGAACATGTCTACTGCCCCCGGACTGGGTTGGTGCTGCGCCATCATGGGCGACGTCGAAGACATGGCCACCCCCAGGCCGGCCATGGCCGCCATGTGCTTCATCGTGTGGACTCGCTGGAAGTTGTTGCCCCCGGGCGTGGAGGCCTCTTGACCCTGGTCTTGAATCCATCCGTGCGTGGCCGGCGACAGCGGCGGATAGCCCGCGAAGCCCCCGCCGAAGTAGACGCCGTTGGCCACGGGGAACACCGGCATCATACTGGCGTCCAGGCCGAAGTTGACGTTGACGTTGATGTTGGCGGCCGAGCAGATGCCGCCTCGATGGGCCGGTCGGAACTGCTGGTAGTGGACGGGCGGCGCCTCGGCCACGCTGTAGAAGGCGTCCTTGAGCGTCGTGGGCTCGGGCGCGGCGCTGGTTCGCGGCAGGTCCAGCGGCTCCAGCAGCAGCGAGTTGCTGCTGGACGGCGGCTTGGCCGCCGGTGTCTTCTTGCCGCTGCCGCTGTGCGGGAAGTCCGGAAAGTCCTGGTCGCTCAGCATCTGCGTGAACATGTCGTCCTCGTTCAGGCGCACGAACAGCGGCGCGTCGTCGGCCACCGGCGGCTGCAGCGTGAGCTGCTGCGAGAGCGCGATGCCGCCGCCCAGCAGCGAGTTGGGCGGTGCCGGCACGGCCATGCCGGAGCTGCTGCCGGGCGGTGTCGGAACGTTGCCGTTGCCGCAGCGCTCCACCAGCAGCGCCTTGACTCTGCCGCAGGACTGCAGCGACGCCGGGGCCGCGCTCGGCGACGGGAACAGGCTGGAGGGGGCGGCGACGGCCGACCGCATCTCGGGCGCGAATAGCGATTCTACAAATGCCACCTCGTCCATGGCCGCCGGTCTGTGCCCTGCAGGCAGGCAGGCAGGCGTCTTCTTGGTGCTGTAGGATGGACCTGGCGGTTTCCTGTTGAAGTTGCCCGCCAAATTATCGAGCTTGGCTACACTACGGGCGAGCATTAGCGGTTTGTATGCGGCCTTTCGGCTATGAGAAACCTCGAACCAAGCTCACCTGATTTTTTGCACACGAAGCGGGAGAGACTGGTGCCGGCGTTGCCTGCCTTTCGGGCTCTTCGAATGTATCGGGTAGCTAGCTGATGCTAATGCTGCGCTGCTTGGCTGCGCGTCCGCGAAGCGAAGTGGCCGGCGGCGAGGAAGAAGGAGTGGAGAGTGGCGAGAAGCGCGTGTCGGCCAGTGGCAAGTTGGACCCAGAATACCGCGGGCCCAGCTGCTAGGCGGAGCACATGGCGAAAGGAATGCTCGTCTGGACCAAAGTTTGGTGAATCGGTGGTGAAGGGATCAGCTCGCCAGAGTGAAGCTCGCAGTCGAAGCTGGAGGCCCCCGCCACGCCCGCGTCGGTTGCAGCAGCGCGCGAGCGGCGTGCGCCTATTCAGGAGGGATGCCAGCCCCGGAAGCAGCGCGGGGTCGTAGTTGCAGCGTGCAACTTGTAGGACGGGGCTGATCACCTCGACGATGATCATGGCTTCGCTTGCTGTCGATCGGCTGGAGCGACGACAGATGCCGCGCGCGTTTACTGAACTGCTCAGACAATCGCCACCGGCGAATCGCCAGCCGATGTTTACCAGACCCTTTTCTCTTCGAGCTTGATGCTGGGCAGCACCGGCCGCGGTATCGGAGCGAAGACTCTTGGCGACACTTTCGGCCACCGGCGTCGTGGCGAAGAATATCGTGGGTGCTGCTCACTACGATAGCAATGATCGAGCCGAGCTGCCTGGCTTCATCGCGAAGTCGAAGTTGGTTCTCGATGGTAGGGGCCCACCCGGAGCAAGTCGCTGTTAGCAACTTGTGCAACTACTGTAGTTGAGTTGAGTTGCCAACTAGGGGTGCACCGTTGCTAGTTGATCCCGTGGATGGATCGCGATGGCGCGTACAAGATGATGATCCTAGTCGCAAAAGTGTAGGACACCCAAAGCATGAGCAGCACTATGTACCTTGCTCTTCGCCTGCCGACTGGCACGGTGGGTTGGTCCGACGCAAGAGGTCGAACAACCAACGCCGCACAGGCAGCCTCGATGCAGCAGCTACAGCTACACTGTACAGGCTTCTGCCGGTGCGCGAGTCTCGGTGGCATGGCTGGCTGGCTGGTACTGGTAACCGCCAAACATCTTATATCGGCGGGTTCAAGAATTTGCCGTGGGATCTCTGGCTGTCCTTGGCACTAAACAATCTGCGGGAGAGCGAGCGAGAGTTATCATCTCGGCGGATCCTTCGCGCTACGCTGCCGAAAGTCCAGTGAAAAATGCCACGTTGGAAATGAAGTCCGGACTTGGCAACCAGGCGCCGCCCCGGGGTGGATATTCTCCTAAGACTTTGTTGAGCTTGTCGATCCCCCAACACTCATTTCACGCGCGCTCGAATCTCCACATCCCTGCAGGGGATCCTGAGGTGTTCAACTTGAATGACAGCGGGTGCGTGCGCTGGTCAAGGGCCGGCCCGGCCCAGCGCGCTGCCGTTCTTAGCGTTTTGATGGGCGACATTGACCTTGCCCGCGACTTCGCGGCGCCAAACTTTGCTCGCCAGGCTCGTTTGTTGCAGCCAGCTCAGCGATGGCAGTGACGCAATGCACTTGTCCGAAAACATATCATTTCTTATATGCATGTTGACTTTTTCACTGGACTGTTGCGGCCACTTTAGCGTAGCGTTTTCCAGCCCCGTTTGAGGTCTTGCCACTGCAGACCATGCACTCAGCAAGGCATCGAAGTGAGGACTTCATCGGGTGGGCCCAGGCGAAGGTTACAGTACCTGGTGAAGCCTAAGCTTTTAGCGGGCACTGTACACAAAGTTGCCTTTCTCGTGTTGAAACATGTGAAAATGCAAACAAGCGTGAGTAATTCCACAATGCAACTCCAAGCTGTGACCGTCAACGAGTGTTCGTATGCACGTCATGCTGTTTCAATTCAACACAAGAATATATCTAGGCGAAGCCTGAGCCAAGTTTCAGCGTTCGACTGGGGTTCACCACTTTGGACGCCACAAGTAAAGCCCTTGGTCAGCTACGGTCTTCCACAAAGCATAGCTAGCCAGGGTCTTGTCATTGGAAGATCCAGGCTACCTTACTCTTATCCGCCGCGCGGCCACGAAGGTGCTAACCTGCCACAGTAGATAAGGGCGAGTGGACAGCCCATGCACTGACCGCTCCTTTCCCTGCCGTTCACACTTCACATCAAGGGCAAATGCCGCGAGATCGCGCTCGACCTCACGGTGACGAATGCCGCGCTGCACATCGTTTTGAAAAACCCGCAACATTTTCCATACAATTTTCAAGATCTTTTTCTGGGATATTGGATCTGTTGTTCTCGCAATCATACAACAACCTTAGGCCAAAAAAACATCAAGCCCAGGCAAGAAGAACAACGTGCACACTGCAGCCTTTGGCGCCAGTGCCGGCACTCAACGGATCAGCGGCATCCAGTCGTGGGTACTGCCGCGCTCGCATGGCGTCGCGGCAGATGCCCATTGCCCCCTGGTGGGGGCGCCACTTGGCATTTTGCCGAATTCACAGGACACACCTTCACCGGCTGGTCAAGTTGTGCCCGCACATAAGCGTAGCGTTCCACCATCTTGCCACAGCCTCGTTTACAACACGGGGCTCGTTTCTTCACAGTCAGCCCACAGCTTGCCGGCCGTGTCGGTCAGTGCCCCCCCGCTGTCATTTCCAAATCCATCGAGCGCTCAGCACGACAGATACCCACGCTTTGCTCTTTCGAGAGCATTCGTACCCCAGCAGCCCCGCAGCCCCACAGCATGTTCGACCCGCGCCTGATCTCCCCTGACTCGCCCGTTGACTCCGCCATGTTCCCGCCCGTGTACAACCGCTCGACGTCCTCGTCCTCCACAGCCTCCATGTCGTCCTGCCCCGACCTCCAGCAGCCTGCCGGTGCCGACATGCCGGCCAAGCCGGCACCGACCGCCGGCGTCTTCGGCATTAAGCAGGAGCCCACCACTTCTTCCTTCCGCGGCGAGCTCGAGCCCTTCGAGTTCCGGCCCAACCCGACCTCGAACCCGACGCCCCGGACGCAGGCCGGCACGTCGCTCAGTTCGGTGTTCGGGGACCAAGACCTCATCGACGCCATCATGTGCAGCCTCAACACGGAGCAGGCCGCCGCCGCCGGCAGCGCCCGGCATGCCGGCAACCTCAACGTGACCATCCCCGTGCTCAGCCCCATGGCCTTCTCGATGCCGCAGCGCATCCAGCATGTTCAGGTCCCGCAGCCGACGTCGTTCACCGCGCTCATGCAGCAGCGGCCGCACACCATTCCGCTGATCGGCGCCACCGGCCGGCCGGCCATGAACGGCCCGTGCCTGCGGAAGCCCGGCACCTTCCTCAACAAGGACGGCCGCTGGATCAAGGGCAAGCCCTGCCGCATGGAAGGCTGCGATAAGCGCGCGCAGTCCAACGGGCTCTGCAAGGGCCACGGCGGCGGCGCGCGCTGCAGCTTCACCGGCTGCAGCAAGTCCTCGCAGGGCGGCGGCTTCTGTCGCGCCCACGGCGGCGGCAAGCGGTGTATGCACGAAGGGTGCGAGAAGGGCACGCAGCGCAACGGCTTCTGCTACCTGCACGGCGGCGTGCGGTCCTGCAGCGTCGAAGGCTGCGACAAGAAGGACCGGGGCAACGGCAAGTGCTTCTCGCACGGCGGCGGCCGCAAGTGTCAAGCGCACATGTGCTTCAACACGATCCGGCGGGGCGCCTTCTGCGACCTACACAACGGCAAGCTCGTTAAGTGAAGAGAGAGAGGGACGGAGAGAGCGGAACTCGCCACGCACAGACACTTTTAAGTTAAGGAGAGAGGGTTGTTCAGCAGAAGTCGTGGCGCGTTCATGAACATATTAACTCCCATGCCAATACATGTCCACGGTGTCATGGTAATGCCGATGTTTTCTATTCCATCATTTCGTTTTCCGACGCACAGCCTCGTCATTCCTTTGGTAGCCGGCAGGCAGGCAAAGCAAGCCCCGCGTTGCTGTTGAGCTGGGCCGCCACCGACGGCGGACGCGGTCGACCACCAGGCCAGCCGACGAGCTCCTTATCCGACAAGAAAAATTCATAAGGATGTCGACACATGGCGCTCGGAGGGCGCAACCAGTGTGCGTAGAAGCAGCAAGCGAGATGGCGTTCATCGCGATCTGCTGACCCCGCGGCCCAGCCGGGCCAGCGCACGCACGCAAAAGCTTGAAGCGTCTGTATCACTCATGAGGACACGCGTTGAAGGCATTGCACCGCGGGCCGGTGCAACAATTGGATTCGTGCATTGACGGCGATTGCAAATCGGCCGCGGCCGAAGGCGTGGGATGCGGCCGACTCACGGAAGATGGCGATAGCCGCGAGGAAGGCCGCGGCTCGCACTTGCACTTGCAGCGGCACAACGCTGCCATCTTTACCTTGCTGCTGCTGCTGCTTGCCACATTGGACTCCGATCGGCTCGGTCGCCGCATTCACTCCAGCCGAAACTTTCGCCGGCCGAACGAACGACGCCGAGCGCGCGCATCTCCTCAGCAATCGAACGCGATGGGACTTGCAGTGCAACGCGTTGCAGTGCAAGCGCGAGAAGCGCAAGGCCGTGATGGGGCGAGGTGGATACCTTCGCAGGATCTGTCATCGGCAGCGAAGCGGCCCCCTGCGGTAGCATGGTGTATCGTCGAGGTTGACTGCGGGTGTCCACCTCCTTTCAGCTCGGCCGTCGGCTGCCGACCTCTACAGACTCGGCCGAGGACGCCGCCATTGATGGCCGTGGCGCTGGCGCTGATGGATTCTCACGCAGCAACAAGCCTCCGTGTCGGTCGTCGTCGCGAGGCCTCGAAACCTGGCTTCGCCGGCAGGACGACGGTCGCCGGAAGCGTGCAGTCACAGGGGTCGGAAGAAACGGAGCCTGTCCCTGGCCTGTCCTCCACGATGCCACCCACGCCTTGCAGAGCGCGGCCAACTTGGCCCTTGGCCGCCAAGGTCAAGGCGCCGCCATCAAGCACGGGCCAGCCTTCAGCTTCTTCGTGAGATCGCTGCAAAGCTGAGCTTGAAAGCTCTGTTAAGTGCCGCAACCAGCTGCCGGCACATCGGGCACCGCATCGTGGTGCTGCTGCGAGCTCCTGCAACTAACGCTCGCCGGCACTCGCGGCAGAAACACCCGGCGGGAGATCGCGGGTGCAACGAGAAAGCTAGGATGCTGAGCAACTTCTCGTTGCCACGGCATCACCTACTTGTCGCTCACGTGCTGGTCACCTCGCCATCAAATGCCGACAATTCTTAGCATGGTGGTCGTTTCCTCGTGCTTCGGTAGTAAAAATAGTTGGCCATCAGTGCCGTGCCAACATGCCGGCCAGGTCACGGCGGACTCGACTCTGACGGTGCTTCTCACACATGATCCGGCCGTTCGCGACCGGCGAGCCTCCGCCTCCGCTGGCCCTTAGCTACGAGACCGTCCTCTGCACGGAGCTGCCGGCATTCGACCCAGTACCGACGCTGCGGTCGGTCCTGTTAAGGCCGCCACATCTCAAGCGGTTCGAGTATTTCCTGCGCAAGACCGGGTGGCTCACGATGCCCATTTACGGCTGCGGCCTCATCCTGCGCGTTGTCGTGTGCTCAGCCCCGGCACCACTGGGGCGACTATTAGCCCCACTGGCTGCCATTCTACACATTCCGCCGTGTATCGTATTCGGCGCCGGCATCCGAGTCGAATTCGTGAAACTAATCCTGTCGGCCTTTGACTTTTGGTTCCCGTTCGCGGCCAACACCATGTTCATGATTGTGTTCAGCATCGTGTTGCGAGACGTCCGAGTGATGCTGGTAGTGGCCGTTTGGGTGGCCTTCGGGTGTTCATTCCTGCAGGAAACGTACTTTCGAGATTCGAGGAATATCGCCATGTCGGCGTTTGTCGAGGCGTCTCTGCTCGTATTGCTCATGGGCAGCATCTCGCTCAATATAATGGACGACGTGTACCATACCGACTTGATCGTAGCCGGCGGCCACAGTCTGTCGACCAAAGATGTGTTGGTCAATGTCATTGGAACCATGGTGACTCTGATGATTCGTACGATGTACCGACGGCTACGGCTAATGAAGCGACAGAAGAAGATGAAGGGCACAGCAGTTCAGTCACTCGGGTATCGGTGCTTCATCGCGTTAAACCCAATCGGGCCAGGGGTGTCGGCAAACAATAGTGTTGTACCTCATCCACTGGGCCCCATGCTGTTTTTCTCTTCCAAGTCGATGCTTGATCGGAAAAAGACCAAAAGGTCCACGACCGATGTAATGGACAGCAGGCATTTATCGAGCTTGGTGCTGCCCCCATTGCAGATACATCTCGTCAAAGATTCCAGGCGATATGACCCAAGAGATACACTTTGGCGACGAGTGGGCTCACTGCAACCTCTAACCGGGTGGCAAGCCTGGACACTTCACATTTGTGCAGTAACCGGGTTTGTGCTGACGGTGCCCTCGATCTTCATCCCACCGTCTAGGGGTGCCGACGCTATGGGGACGCTGTGTCTTGCAACAACCGCGATATTCGTTGCAGTGAGCATTTGCTGCTGCCAACGCGTGCTGTTCAAAAGGGTGGGGGTGTCCTTCGACTATCTGTTTCTCGTTCTCCAGCTCATCGCTGCGCACTTGTGTCTCGCGGACATTTTCTCTTGGCGATGGGCGCCCACCTGTGGCGTGGCAGCCAGCTACCTCTGGGCACAATGGACGTTGACGATCGACTCGTTGACTCCAGCGATGAGGTGCCGGCTGCACGTCAAGAGCTGGACGCCCACGTGCTGCATCGTTCTCTTCATTGTCATCCAGCTGCTGATGCTGCTCGACATGATGATCCTCGACTTCTCCAACATCCGCGACCGCGTGTTCTGGGACCTGGAGTTCCTCGGACGCAGAGCCCAATTACGAGTCGTGACGTTCCTCTGGAGTCGAGTCGTCACCATTTTCATTTGGTACGGCCGACTGTTCTACATCTTGGTCACGCGCGTTCATGAGAACACTCTCATCATATTGAGGGGGAACGTCGAGTTCGACTACCAGAAGTGGCGACTGCAAGCCAACATCGCCCGTGAGACCCGGAGAAGAGCCAAGTGCGCGATATCACCGTTGAACTCGACGATCCCAGAGTAGAACCTGTCCATACAAACAATAGACGTGGTAGTTTTTGCAGCCCCAAACGGGGTCAATTGGTTTAGTGTAGTTCTTATTGCGTTCTGTCCACGTTTGGACACTTCATTGATAGCGCTTGTTGGTGAGCATATCGCTCTCTCCTCTTTATCCCCATGATCCACCCATTCGCGTGCGCGACTGAGACGAAGCCTCTTCCTGTTCGCGATGTGCAGTACAAGATCGTCGCGTGGGGGAATGATCTACCTACGTTTGACCCCCTCCCCATGCTCAAGACGATCTTACTCAGTCTAAGACCAGGCCTCTCGAAAAATCAATTAGTAGAAAAATTAATTGACATTTTTCTCATGGAATTATTTATTTCAACGGTACCGATGTGAGCTGCAATTATTTCGGTGTATGACTCGTAATAGCGCTTTATTGATGTAGCAATATTGTGCCTTTCAGAAACTTTGGCCAATCTGACCTCAAAAAGGTGGTCTTAAGAAGGAGAGGGTAGGGTTAAACCTAGGATTTGCTGCTGGCCCTGCATCGGATTACGGAAGTCCTACGTAGGAGCTCCGTCTTCATCTAAAGGGTACCTTTTTGGAAATAAGGACCGAATGGCCATGTTAAGCTGGCCATTCGGGCCTTCGTAGGACTAACGAGCCCTTCGTAGGACTAGATCACGTCAGTGTGCCTGACAGCATCTGTGGCAAATGCATAGTTTGGCCACAGGCGGAGACTCAGGCAGCACCGCAGCTAGGTCACCATGCCAGCGTGGAGCTACGTACGGGTACATGTGCTACATACTGTGCACAATTTGTTGGCCTCCCTTCGCAAGCAAATCGCTCACTTTACATTCAGTTATTGTTTATGCACGGTTTTACTGGCCTTGGTACTAACTTTTATGAGGTCTTACGTAGGAGCAAGAGTCCTACGTAGGACCTCAAATCGGAGGGCGTTTTGGCAGAAAGGCACAATACAAGCAACATAAAACCAATATACTCTTAAAAAGTATTCGTCTTTTCGGTATGATCACAGGTTCAGTCGATCTTGAACTCGACTTGAAACCATTATATTCAATCAATACTTCATATTATCATTTTCTACATAATATAAGCATGTAAAATTTGGAGGGTTTAGTTACTATTTGCGTAGAAATTATTGAATGCATTATTGATTCGGTGGTATTGAGACGTAGCAATTATGTATTGTTCTTTGATAAAACAGTCCCTGCATTATTTATCATAGTGCTTGTTGCACTACTACCTAATAATGCCATAATCGGGAGGCCTGCTCAGAACCTTCAACCGGTTTCTAGTTATATTTTGGCTGGCCCTATAGCCCATGTTTCGGAATAGGGTTAGGGATAAAGACATACTAAAACCAAGTAAGATCTCCAAACATGTAAAACATGCTGAAATCACATGTTTCGGTTTTCAGGACGGGTGTCATGGCACCCAAATCTATTGCAAATCCCGGTAATCGAGTTGCTAAATGTGGCTCTACCTGTCCTTAAAACCTTTAGAAGGCCGGCCCAGCGCTAGGCAGGGAACTGTAGACCTAAGCCTTGCTTCGGGGCTACGTTTGCGGGTTGTTCATGCTTCTCAAACGCCACTGATGCCGATTTGGTCTCTGCATCACGATAGATTTGCGGGCCATTTCACCCCCTCCAATCCGAAAACATGGGCTGTACATTTTCCGTTATATTTTCCCCCTTCCTGGGGCCGTGCATTTTCACCGGTCTAGGCTTACGGTTCGCAACATTCATGATGCCGGCGCCCACAGGTCGAATTCTATCCGCTATCGTTCAGATCCCGGTATGATTATTACTTTGGCCCACATGCGCACCGAGTACATGAAGATCCTCGCGAGTACATTCGACTTCCGCTTCTTACAAGCTGCTAACACTCTGTGGGCCGTCACGTTTTGTATTGTATTGAACGACCTCCGCATGATAGTCGTGCTGTCTTGCTGGGTGAATTTCACGTGCTGGCTTCTCCAAGAAACATACCTGCGCAAGTCGTACTTCATCGTCGGTGCGGCTTTGGGGGAGTGGCTGTTCTTCGTGGCACTGCTGCCGTACCTATCACTGGAGCTGGTGGACGACGTCCATCATTGCAATTTGTTCACGGCCAGTGGGCACAAGATATCGACCAAAGACGTACTCGCAAACGTCATTGGAGCCATGGCGATGCTGTTTCTGCGGAATTTGTATCGCCGATGCCGAAGTCTCAATCGTAGACCTGGAACCGCCATCCAAGTGCTCGGGTACAGATGCAAGATCGCACTAAGTCGGTCAGATGTGCCCCTAAGCGGTATTTTACCCCCAAATCTGAACCAACGCAATGCATACCCGCCACTTGAAATGTATCTCGCGACCGAGTCAGTCCGATTTGATCCTCGAGAGACTGTGTGGCCTGCTATCGGTTCCCTATCACCACTGTCATCGTGGAGGATTATAGGTTTGCATGCTTGTGGAGGACTTGGCGGCGTATTTGCGGTGCTGTCACTCTTTATCCCAGGGAATACCGGTGGAATGGAGGTGGTTGCAGTTTTGGGACTGGTGATGAGCTCCCTCTCCACTGGAGTGTATGCGTGCTGTTGCCAACGCCAATTGCTCACGCGTCTCGTTATGTCCTTCCAATATTGGTTCCTCTCCTTTCAAATTATCGCCACGCGAATCAGTGTCATGGATATTTTCAACTGGCAGTGGGTTCCGATTTGTGGTATGACCTCCACTTTGCTTTTGGGGCATACTATACCGACCATGAAGCGTCGATTACGCTTCAGATTCTGGATGTCAGTCGCCTGCTTTGGATGCTTTGGATAGTTTACACCCTCCTACTTCTGGGCGTCTTTATATTGAACAAGTTGGGCGTACAGGACCGGGTATTCCTGAACTTCTCAGTTTTCGGGCGGCAGGCCCAATTTCACGTGGTGCCGTTCTTCTTAAGTCGAGTGGTGGCCATTTTCGTGTGGTCAGGCCGCTATTTGTATGTGATTCTCACTCGCCAGAACGCCAACGCACTCATTTTGCTGCGAGGAGAGATCGAATTCGACTATGAAGGCTGGAAAAGGCAGCTCGGACTCGTTTCTCGCGGAGGGATACATTTTACAAGCGGCTACAAAAAACGCAAGCTTCAAAATCGAGGTATAAGTTAGTTGAAGCTTGTAAACCCACCGACAGCAGGCTGCATTTAGCTACGCAGACGGAGATATCCACGAGGGGAGGCAGCATTATAGATAGACCAGGTCACCCAAACGACTTGTGTTGTGTCATGATCGAGCCACTCGACCCCGTCGATGCCAGCAATCACCCTCATCACCATGATCAATCGTTTAGAATCGTTGCTTGGTACGATGACTTGCCCTCTTTTGACCCTCTAGTTATGGTGAAAACCGTGCTGCTCGGCCCCAGCGCCGTCAAGACGTTCAACCGAGTCGCACTGAAGTTCACTCGAGTCACGGAGCAGGCGGTCATTTGTGGAATCATCTTGCGGTTTGCCACCTTCGCGTTACCCGCAAATCTTGGACGAATACTTGCACCCATTGCAGCGATCGCCCACCTTCCCGGCATGATCGTCTTCACCGCGGGCTTCAGGACCGAGTACGTGAAGATCATCTTTCACACCTTTGACTTTTGGTTTCTGTATACTACCAGCACGATCTGGGCCGTCGTGTTCAGCATTGTCTTGGGGGATATTCGCGCTACGCTCGTGGTGGTTTGCTGGGGGAATTTTATCAACGCTTTACTGCAGGAAACCTATCTACGCAACACAAAGTTCATCATGATCATCGTAGTGTTGGAGCTGGTATATTACATGCTGCTGCTAACGTGGTTGTCTTTGGAGTTCGTTGACGGGGTGAACCATTACGCAGCGACCACAGCCCGCGGCCAGACCCTGTCAACCAAAGACATTCTTGTCAACGTAGTGGGGACGCTGACGATGATGTTGGCGCGGAATCTCTATCGCAGATTCGCGCACGCCAAACGCGAGCTCAATGAGCCTGGGACACCGATGCAGGCTTTAGGGTACCGCTGCAAGATCGCTCTGGGCGCTGCAGAGCCGTCGACGTCTCGTGTTGCGTCGCGTCAGCAAAAGCAATTAGGGCGTAGTGGGAGCCACGTTGACACTGCGACTTTGGTAGCTGCACTAAATCAACGCCCCAAACTGCCGCCGCTACAAATGCGTCTTACTACGGAATCGATCCGCTTCGACCCTCGGAGAACTCTTTGGCCTCGAATTGGGACGCTTCGACCACTGGCCACCTGGAAAATCGCAGCCATTTATTCATCTGGAGCAATAGGAGCGCTTTTTGCAGTGCTTTCCCTCTTCCTGTCTAGAATTAATGGTACTTGGGGGGTGATCGCAGTGGTTGGACTGGTATCAAGCCTTCTCTTCAGTGGGATATTCGCTTGCTGTTGTCAATGCCAGCTACTGAAACGCATCGTCTTGTCCTTCCACTTCATATTCCTCGCGACTCAAACCCTTGCCACGGGATTTTGCATCGCGGATGTCTTCAGCTGGGAATGGGCTCCTTCTTGTGGCGTGGCCAGCCTTTTGCTCTTAGTTTTCACGATTTTGACGGTCGATGCGTTGACGCCAAGTATGAAGCGGCGACTGCAGTTCAAGTTCTGGATGCCTGTGGCTGGGATCATCCTCTTCTTTCTGGTTGAAGTGGTGCTGCTGGTCGATGTTTTGGTCGTGGGCTACTGGGACCTGCAGGACCGAGTGTTCTTGGAGTTGGACCTCATTGGTCGTCAAGCTCAGTTTCGGGTCGTTCCGTTCTTCTTGAGTCGGATAGTGACCATATTTGTGTGGTCTGCGCGGTATGTGAATATTGCTCTCACTCGACACAATGACAACGTGCTGATTCTGCTGCGTGGCGAAGTGGAATTCGACTATGAAGGTTGGAAAAGACAGTCTAGGCTTGGTACTGGCAACAAGTAGGCCTCCAATTGACGTGGAAGACAGCCAAAAAAGAGGAAACTTCATCCCCTTACTTCTCATGGCTCATTTAATCATTTAAAAAATGTCATTCAGTTAGTGGTTTACTATTATACCTCTCGGGTAAGCTTCAAAAGGCGTGGGTAGTTGCTGCCCATTGTCTTCTCCGTCTAATTGCTTACTCAAATGTATGTAGGTTAACGGGCTCGATACTAGTATCAAAGTTACGCGATCGGGCCAGTAGCATCACTCACAGCCGCTGTATTCGTGTTACCAGCTTCGCGACGTGCTGGAAAGATGTTGACGATCCTGTCTCAACCCTGCTTATCCATTTGATCACTGACTTGGTGGCTAGATCGAGATCCACACTGTATTAGGCATAGCTGCATTACACGCACAGGTCGTTAGACGTCGTATACACTCGAGCAAGCATCAATGCTGCCGGCCTCCGTTCTGTTGGCGGAGCTCGCCATCACTGTTACTGGCACTATGACCACAAGTTCGCCTGTGAATCGTCTGACAAATGCGCTGGCGATAGGATGGCGGATCGCCAAAGCCCCGCTGCCTAAGTCAGCGCTCGCGCAGCAACTCCGCTGACGAAAGAAATAAACAAGAAACTGAGTTTTCTAGCGTAGAGCGAGTAACATTAGCCAGCGTTCACAACAGCTCAACGCAAAGGCGGTATCTGCCTTTGCCGTCGCCTGCGCCCAGTGGGTGCAGCCACGCGCTTGCAGTTACTTCCCTGCTTGGTCGTTTCGCGCTTAAATTCCAGCGGCACGGCCGCCAAGGTCAGCGTCTTGCCTCACGCACGTAAACTCGAGCGTCGGCCGCCCTGGTGCCTCGAAGGGCAAAAGCGAAAGTGGCCAAGGTCGAACGTTTGGCCAAGCAAGTTGAAGTTGCCTTTGTGTGTGCCACACCACACTAGGATGACGAGCTTCGGGGCGAACATGTATCGCCGACGGCGACGGCGATCAGGATCTCGCTGGCTGCTCTCTGACCAAAGGCAGCACGCCAAGGGCTCACGTTTGGCGTCGTTAGGCGGCACTGCACCCCGCCGCCTCCGCCCAATGCGGTCGGAAGGCGCGTGCCTGCCGGTCTGCGATTGGCCCGTGCAGCCCACCATCTGGTCGAGGACGGATCTCCAGATTCCAGGGGTCCTGGAACTCCCCCTCTCACTTGCCCTTTGTATCCTTTGACTAGACTGGAAGTCGGCCGTTTTCTGGAATTTTCCCCCGTTTGACGACTCTGCTCAAGTGCGTGGTGCAACAGCCATTGAGTCAGTTGCCCAAGAGCAACCCCAATTCGATTCCGCCCAAGGGAAGCCCTCAACGCATTCGGCTATTTGTGCCCCGAGCGCCACCCCGCTCCTCCGTCTCAGCTGCAAGGCACCAACTACGCGCGGTACAGCACTCGTCGTCGAATCTCGTCGAGAAACGCGCCGCCTTTCAAGTATTTTTAACCGAGCACCGTAATTGATGTGGCCCCGCACCCGAGAGCTGCCCACGCGCTTCGCGCCCACGACCCATTGGAAGCTCTTCCTGCGCGAGGACAAGCAGCTGCCCAGCGCCGCCGCTGCCAAGGCCCAAGCGCGCGCGCCGCACCACCGCCACAGCACCGCCGTCCGCGTCCGAGTGACGTCGTCTATTCCGTCGCCCACGGGTCTGCTGGGTTCGGTCCACACCCACCTGTTCAGCCGCGGCCCACCCGCGACGCAATCGATCCCGCAATCAGCCCGCTTCGACCCGCGGGTCGAGCACACCAAGTACACACCAAGTTCGGGACTCATTCCGCCTCTGCACAAGCCGTTCCGCAGTATCCAAATAGCCAAGAGACAGTCGGCGGTTAACTCGGCAGCAGCGTCAGGTGCCAGTTCGGGCCAGCAGGGGGACGAGGAGTGCCAGCTGCCCATGGACATGGAGTGCGGCTGCAAGACCAAGCGCGAGAAGGAGCGGCAGGAGAAGGAGGCGCTGATGCTCGCGGAGCGGAGGCGCATGGAGCAGGCGCAGGACAACCAGCAGAAGGAGTACGACAAGATGCACGCCATGGTGCATAAGTCCACGGCCGCCGGCGTGCAGAGCAGCTTCCACCGCCGCCACCTGCCGCAGGACTGCATCGCGTTCTCGAGCCCCGAGGGCCGCAAGCTCTTCACCGAGGCCATCAACAGCAACACGAACACCAACTACATGCAGATCTACTTCCCGCTGGCCGAGCAGTTCATCACGCAGGCCGAGCCCGCGTACTGCGGCCTGGCCACGCTGGCCATGTGCCTCAACGCGCTGCAAATCGACCCGGGCCGCCTCTGGAAGGGCCCCTGGAGGTGGTTCAGCGAGGAGCTCTTTGACTGCTGCACGTCGCTCAGCGTGGCCAAGGAGAAGGGCATCAGCATGTCCGAGTTCATCTGCCTCGCGCGCTGCAACGGCGTGCACACGGAGGACTACAGGGCCACGAGCGACTTCACGCTCGAGCAGTTCAGGGACATTGTCAAGCACAGCTGCGCCACCAGCTCGGAGATCGTCGTGTTGAACTATAGCCGCAAGGTGCTCGGACAGACGGGAGACGGACACTTCTCGCCCATTGGCGGCTACCACGCCGAGAGGGACATGGTGCTGCTCATGGACGTGGCCAGGTTCAAGTACCCGCCCCACTGGGTGAAGCTCTCGATGGTGTTCGACGCGATGCAGAGGATCGACCAGTCCATGGACTTGCCCCGCGGCCTCGTGATCCTGAGAGAGGGAGCCCACGCCACGGGCCCCACGCTTGTCAAGCAACAGCTTATCCATTGCGACGAGCAGATGGCCTTGCCCGTGGCGCAGGCGCCTCAGCCGTGTTGCTACAGCTCCGCGGCGGTCGAGGCGGCGCGCCGCATCGCGGAACCCGCTGTGACGACGCAGCATTAGACGGAAGACGATGCGCGACCGGGAGCGTCGACTCTCCTGGTTGCTTTGGCTCTTCCAACCCCTATTTTATTGCAGGCTCATCTACTGAGCTTGCAGCTACGGAAGCTAACTTCGCGTAGACATACGCACTGGTCCATGGTGGATGCAGGCAGAGCTGCCTAGAACCTCCAGCGACCGAAACTACATAACCACCGCAATAAACTGTACCATGACCGATTGATTTCCTCTATTTGGAACAATTGGCGGGAACCCGGGTACCCATCGGGACCCCGGATCCCCCAAAACTACCGGTACACATGTATGAGCAAATGCATTGAAGTGTTGGTCTATGACCTACATAGAACGCAGCTGAAGCTCAGTAGGGGAACGGAAGGTTAATTTACCTTCGCCCTCGTCCTGTGTCTCTCCACGAAAATCCAGTCGCTTGCCTGGTGCAGCGGTACAGTGCTTCCCGGTCTCATCGCTATCCTCCTGCTCATGAAAGATAAACTTGGACATGGAAAGGTATGTTATTTGGGTCTATTCAGTACCTGTGGCATATTTTGAGGGTAGTCCTTCATCGACAGCACTTAGATATGAGGGTTTAACTTGCCCCGAGGGTACCAATATGGAGGCCAAAAATTAAATAAACAATTCGCGATTTGGTCGGTATCATTTGCGGNAACCCGAGNTNNNGCAAATGATACCGACCAAATCGCGAGAACTCGGGTTCCCGCCAATTGTTTCATTTGTCAACTGGATGAAATGTTGCAACCAGGGCTTGGTAGTAATTCGCGAGGCCAGTAGAATATAGTACTATAGTACTAATACTTCTACTATAGTAACCAGTAACTTGGCACTTTCTGATTGTACTATCACTATAGTAACCAGTAACTCATCCACGCCCCCAATAATACTATCGAGTTACTGCTGAGGTTCACCTGAGGTTCACAACTTGAAATTTCAAGTTGATGACACATACGTTCGCTCGCGAACCCCTCGCCTGCTGAGTCTATCCAAGAGCCCAAAGCTCCACTCGGGTTTAATCGCGGTGAGTAAATGGTGAGTGTTGATTGCAATAGTTTAGCACCGCCGCTGGTACGCAAGTTGCTGCTCAGCATAATAGGAAAAAATGTCGTAAGCCCCTGTGCTCGTTCGACGGCGGTAAGAAGTACTGGGTCTACATAATTTGGTGTCGTTTGTCGTTGGTGCATCGCCAGATTTTGTATCTACTACTTACAACGCACGTCCGTTCCGCGCTGCTGTCACAATAGCGTCGTCACGCTATGGGTATGGTAGCACTTGAGCAGAGGGTAGTAGTAGCTGAAGCACTCGGGCAAGATGCCGTCGACGTTGCAGTCAGCACTAGTTGTTCTTGAACAGGTAAATTGAGATCTGATTGAATTAGACGTGTTTCCCTAACTAGTTTTCTTCTAGCTAGCCTACACAACTCACTCAGTAACTCTTCGTACAAACATGCAATGTTAACATGCAGGATGGCATCCTCAACTTGCACTTGAACGTCAACTCACAAAGCCGAAAGTAGATCACAGCTGACGAACTCTATCCGCTACTAATTGCCGTGTTCAACTTGATAGCCTTCGCGTTCAAGCTAGGATGAGTACGATCTGCTAGCAGTCCTTGATGATACCATGACAGCTGCATACCGACGGAACCATTACTCACTAGAAAACGTCCAATGTTTCTCTGCAGTGGCCCGGGTGGGACGGGTATTAGAAGTTCCACCGGTTTACAGTACCGTAGAACTCAAACCGAGTAGGTGATCTATTGCGAAATTCGTTGTTGTATTTGTGCCCACTCAGTGATTTGTCTCGTTGCAAAGTGAAATGGTGGGGAAAGCAACAAAACAACGGAGATTTGATATTTCCGAAGTCACTCAGTATTTTACGACTATACTCGGTTCTAATCGAGTGCATAGCACACACAAAGTCGCTTAATCTCTTCGGGTAGACTACTTAGACTCACTTATTTAAGATGCTAAACACTGTCGCGTCATTATCACCCCTCCTGCACCTACTCCTTCGATGTCGCGACGGATGCGGAACATGCTGCGGATGAGGACCGCAACGCTTGCGGTCACGCTTCTTCGCATCGAAGCTCGCGGCAGGCTAGCAGCAGACGCACGCCGTGCAGGCTGGGCTTCATTGAGCTGAATTAACCAGGCAACTGTCGACTGCTTCTTCAAGCTCCACTGTATGCATGCATGTCGTTTGTTAGTTAACCAGGCTACTTAAGTACACAAGTGGACTCGGCGCCACTGCCGGTGATGTCGAGACCGGCGCCAAGTAAGGCCGGAAGTGTCCAGTTTGACCGACAAGTACAGCGTGCTGGGTGGTTGCGAAGTCATTGAGCATTTTCCCAGGTCTATTGTGAAATTTCCGATATAGCGCCAAACTACCGATTAGATCAATCCTACGCCCCGAGATAAGCTATTCGGACTTGCTAGAGTATTTAACGAAGATCACCTTCAATAGCGAGTAGCTAATCTCGGTTGGAACGACCTCAGTCTTCGACAAGGGTATCGTAGCAAAATCGTGTAGTGCTAAGAGTCTGATAGAGCGCTGACAAACTCGTTTTAAGGTCTCGAGCATGACAAAAGGAAAGTTGATGCCGCTGAGCAGGCACAACAACTAGCAACACTGCCCCCAATGCTAGACAACTGGGGCAAGACGCGTGCGTGTGTGTCCTCAGTGACTCCATCACACAACGTCTGCCACACCAAGCTTGTCTGGCGGCTCCCACGACAATTCCTCGCAGCACGTCGCCGCTCCAGCCGTACCGCGCACACATCACTCCATCTTCGCAGACAGTCCTTTCAACACCACACCATAACTCGAACTCCACACAGCGTGAAGCAGTCGTGGGTTGCCACCACAGCGGTAGGACGTTGGCACAGCGCCACATCATCCCGGACTGAATCAGCTCTCGCAGCACTCCGCCGCGAGTCTGCTAAGAATCTTGCACGGCACATCGCAGCTGGATCTTGTCGACCTTGTCATCTCTTGACTTGACGAACGCATTGCGCGCCACCGCGTTGCTTCTTCAACACTTGCACGCCGTCGTCTTCCGATCTTCACTTCACTTGGATTCTTCGTCGCCATCTTGACTCGTCTCGCACTCCCGCTCACCGCAGGAGGCACGCGCGCACTCATCGCGCGCAGGTCCTTAGTCGTTCGCGCCCACACAAACCATCGCCTCTCCGCCGCCGTCGTCACCAGCAACTAAAGGAGCCTTTGTCTTGTCTTCGCAAGAGAGACGACATATAGTTAAGCTTCGGTTGCGCTCGTACGCCTTTAAAGCTAGCTGCCCCCGTAAAATTGCTATCGCAGCCTTCGCGAAGCCCTAGTTTTTTTCGTAAACATAAACCACAATACCGATATTATGGTAAAACGAAGAATAGCCTCAGATTGTTCTTGCTCAAAGAATTGCCTCGGATTGTGCTTTCTCATGATCTCCGATTTAGAGGCAACAGCTTTCATTTGTGAGACTGGACATTTATCTGTGAATTAAATGACCCTGAGGGTACACACCCGGGGCGCCAAGTAAATCCGAGACTCGGGGTCATTTAATTTAGAAGCTTGACACTCAAATTATTGCAAGCATGCCCGACATTCGTTGAAGACTCTGGGGGGGGGGGGGCAACGAAGCCCTGTTATTCTGGGATAGCAGTAACCCCGGAGGGAGTGCAGTGGCCAGCCCAACACAGATTAATTAGGCGGTACCTCGGCAACTGAAGCCGGTATTACTGAAGCCGAAAAAGTAGCCCCACCCGCCAGACCCTAAAATAAATATATTACGAGGATTGAACGCACCCACAGCTACGATAAGCTGTATTCCATGGTAGAACCAGGGAATTGTGTTTTCCACTTCAAAATAGTACTTTCGATATACCGGTACACACCGGTATTATACCGGTAACCCTGACCGCCCACAGTCCAACCGATGGACGCGTGGCGTTCTCCCCTCACTTCGAATCAAGACCAAAAAACAAGCAAGCAAGAAGGGGGTCCTTAACCTCCCAAGACTACGACATGATCACCCGTGGAACCACCGACCAAGCCGGCGCCCCCCCTCCCCAGCTCGCCATCGCCCAGAAACGAGACGGCCCCGTCGGACAGCGAGCGCCCGACTGCCGTCGCTGCCGCGGACTCAGCCCCTCCTGATGTTGTGGACGTCACGGGCGCGGACGAACCATGGGCGAGGGCGCCTGCAAGGCGCACGTCCGACCCCGCCCCGCTCCGCACGAGCAAGCGGGCGACGTCGAAGGTAGTCTCCGGTGAAGCCGTCACGGAAGCTCGCAAGGGCAAAAAGAAGCTGGTCAAGCGGCCGACGGCAGGGACCGGCGGCGAGGCACCACGGAAAGCGGTGGCCGACGACGGCCACGACTCCGACTCCGACCCGGAGGACAAGGCGCCGGCGCCGCCTGCGAAGAAGCCGCGTAAGACTACGACTCCAGCGAAGACGAAGCCAGCGAAGGCCGCGACGACCTCGAAACGTGCGGTGCCGACGCCGAGATCCGACAGCGGCTTCGACCTGAGCTCCTTCATGGCCTCCTTCTCGCCCGGCACTGCGCTCGAGGCGACTGTTGCGACCCCCAACGAAGCCTCGGTGGCGACCGACGACATCGCCCCTCAGGACGGCGTTGCTGTTCGTGCGCAATTGCAAGAGCTGCAAGATGAGGTGGAACGTCTGCGTGCGCTGGTGGACGGGCAAGGGCTTGCTCAGCTCCATGTCGCCGTCACGTCACGCCTGCATGCAGACCCCTCGGCTCCCACGGCTCCTAACAACAAGGGGGAGATCGGCGCGCGAGCGGAAAATTTTCCGTGAGAGCACCTGTTTTGCCCTTCGTCCGACCTCTTCCACCACCGGAACACCGACTTCACCAGGTAACCACAAGGGCACCAGCGGAACCAGCGCCGCTTGCGCTGGCACTTTGACCTTACGGTCCGGGTCGGCCATACAGCCACCTACAGCTATACAGCTACCTTTGACTATACAGT